GCAAATCATACTCTTAACTCGCTTCACAAATGGAGCTCTGTAAATTCACTTCCTATTAACACTTCCAAAACTAAGGCAGTGCTCTTTAAACCGAAGAATAAGTCTGTGGTTTTCGACTACAACCTTGTTCTGGGGCCCTCCATCATTGAACTAGTACCTAGTACTAAAACCCTAGGCGTAATTTTCCAGGAAAATCTGTCATGGGATATTCACATTGAAGGTCTCATTCGCAAGCTTTCAAAAGCCGTTGGCATTTTTAACAGGTTTCGCTTCGACCTCCCAGTAAAAATTAAACTCCTTTTATACAACTCTCTATTTTCTTCACATCTAAATTATTGTCATCTGGTTTGGGGAACCACAACATTAACCAATATAAATAATCTTCATGTCTCTCAGAAAAAGGCCATACGGAGTATCGTCAATGCCCCATATGATTCTCATACACAACCCCTTTTTAAGACTCTACATATCATTCCAGTTACCAACCTGTATGACTACACAATAATTTTAAGATACACAGCGGGCATTAAACTGAACAATCCTTTATTTCAAGAGATCGCTGGTCTAGCACGAAGTATGAATTTTTATTCTACTCGTAATGAGGATGTCTGGAAGATACCATACAGCAGAACAAACTATGGAACGCAGATGTTGAGACACCACCTCCCATCATTATTGAACAATCTAAGGAGCAACAACTTCACCATAGAAACACTAACACCTCGTGCCATCAAAAATATGTTTCTGTAGCTCACTTATTTTTGTATTGTGCCTCATGATATCAGTGTTCTACTTCCCAGTTACAAGTGTCTACATGTTTTTTTTGTTATGTTTTTTTTTACTCGTCTTCCTGCTATAACGATTTTGCTTTCATTTTCCTACAATTTGCTTATCCGCCTCTGCCAAGAAAACGGGGGTGGGGCCCAGTCAAGCCAACATGTGTTGGCTTTTTGCCCATGCCCCTGTCGTCTGTACGTATAGACGAAATAAACTGATTCTGATTCTGATTCTGAAGATATGTTGAATTTTGGCATTACTTAACGTCACGTCGCTAACTACAACTACTATATCGAAGCAACCCAATTCTAGGGTTTCTTATTTTTTTATTTAGTCTTGCCAAGTATTCACGTTTTTGACAGCTTTTTCTTTTTTTTTTTTTTTTTTTTTTTTTTTTTTGGTGGAGGGATTTTGTTTTGAGTAGCTCCTCAGGTAATTTATTAAAAGTATTGGGTACATAATAACTTCTTGTGGCCTCGCCATATTTGGTATAAATAAACGGTTCAGTAAGGTTCTTCCTTTGGCATTTTCTACTTGATGTCCGTTGTTGAAAAAATGCTTTATTATATATGTTTCATCTGGTCTCTAAAGCAACCACAGTCCTAGGTCTTTATGCATATAATTTTGCCAAACAAGTTCTTCACTTAGGTAACCCATATTTTTGGCTATCCCTTTTTTTGGATCGATTCTATTTTTAGGGTTAGGTATTTGGCACAGTGTCTGTAAGCTGTTATTCCATATTTAAGTGTGGACTTGCCCAGCGAATTGTATATCATTCTTGGTGTGGATCGCGGGACCAGTTCTTGTATGATACATCTGCGCCATTAATATCTCTGTCGGGCTACTTTGGCTGTATGTCAACAGCTCCCACCATATTTCGGCCTTGCGCCGATCAGACGCCTTTCGTTAACTGTAGCGCTCTTAATGTGTTACTCTTTACCGAGGTAAGCTCACACTTTGAATAGTTGGTGCACGAAATGCAGACTTCGGCCACCTCTGTACAAAATCTGAGCTCGAAAGGTTAAGGGCCAACGACCCCTTTGACTCACGCTGTACTGGCGGCGACATTTGGTATCAAAGAAGATTCATCGAAGTTGCACCGTTGCACTGATGCTGCACTCTTGTTACTACTCGATCCATATCACCGAGACTTTTGGCAGGATTCTCATTTGCATGTTGTGGTCTTTTTCTAGATCTTTTGTTCCAACGTCTGAAAATATATTATAAATTTTGCAAAACAACCGCCTTATATCAAAATATAAGCTTTAGTTAAAAATTATCAAAAGGGCCACGAAACGCAACTGAGAATGCGTCCATCTATGTGTGTTAAATCTATTCACCAGCAACTCCAATACGTTTAAGCGAATTTAAAATTTTGGCGAATATGTGTGGGCGATAGAGGTTTACAAATGGTGCAACCGAATTCTTCTTTTACCGAGGGTTGCTTGATCGACAACAGATGGCAGCCATAATTGGACAGAGGAGCCTATCAATAACACAAGCGGGGGCGGCGAGTCGTCCGTAGGATGGACAGCCAGTCTATCCTCTTCAGACAAAAAAGAGCGCTAGAGTCGTGGACATTCTACAGGAGAAACGCGGGAGGGTGGTCCCATTTCGCCAGTTTTGCATGTGCACAAGATGCGCACTTTGAACTCTGATTTCGCACATTAGTGGACCGGACCAGTCACTAGCTGTCATAGCAGTGGCTGTTCGTGCTTTGCACATGCTGGCATTGAGCTTACACTGCTTATTTCACAGCACTTTTTTTTTTGGCCGGAAGGGGGAGGGCACATAACTTTATACAGCCCAAACACGTGACGAGAAGTATCTTCTGTTGGCGCTTTAAACATGGCAAACTACACCACCCGCGACAATTCGTCCAGAAAAGCCTGACTTGGGGAAAAGGACACCATGGTTTACAAAAGCAACAACCCTTCGTGTGTCCGTAATGAAACACCCAGAATAAACAGACGGTCAGTTATGGCCGCATCTATGCACTGTATGCACCATACCGCATCGTCAAAGGAGTATGTTTTATAAAAGCTATGCAAGTTTCCAGCAGAGGCTTTGGACCCCGGCACAGGAAAATTCCATGCAGTGGTGTGGCCAGGGAAGAGTTTCAGCCCTTCTCTCCCCCCCCCCCCCCCCCCGAAATTCATGACCTCCCCCCCCCCCTCCGCACCACAAAACATGGACATCCCAGCCACCTCATCCCCCCCCCCCCCCCAAAAAAAAAAATAAAAATAAATATCCTGGCTGCATTATTGCTGTTAAGGCAGTCCCCACTTGCATCCATGGAACTTCTACCCTACTTGACGGCCAAAGAAACCATCCCGGAGTCAAAATTAGCTTGTGTCTACTACAGCACGTTTCGCAGTGTACTCAGTGATGGAAGCGGCATTTGACCTTTGTAGCAGGTTCTGTAGACGGCAAATTATTGGTTTGGAGCCGCCGTTGACGCTTTTGGAGCAGATGCCAACATCTGTTAGCACATCACTCGAAAATGAAAAGAGTGATTGCATCTCTACATGAGTTCATCTATAAGAGTGATTGAGAGTTCCTCTTTGGTACTGAAGCATATTACTTATTACCTTTTGTGATAAAAATTGATAGGACGCAAGAGGATAATAGCCTTCTTTTTAGAAATAAGCCTCTGGTCAGAGTAGGGTCCATTTACGATGGGTTCTAAAAATGGTTTAAAAATAAATCATAGCCCAACCCTTCGGTTGGGATATAAAGCCTCTCGCCGCTCCCCATTATACTCAGTAGTTTAATTAGCCTGTAAATATAATTTCTGCAAAATGCCATCAAAAACGATCATATCCGCTACATGTCTATAAATAAAAACGCGTCCCCCAAATTTTATAAACCTACCGAACTCGCGACTCTTATATCATACACTACGAAATAAACAGCACCCACAAATATTATGAAAGCCTACACTTGTGCTTTAAAGGTGACACTGCTTTTTAGCGGCGTTGGAACCACAGTTAAGTCAAAGTTCGCCGCTCTTTCGATCGAACTCTGCACGGGAACTACAGTAACTACCGTATTCATTCAAATATAGACCCGCGTTATTTTTTAGATTAATTTGCAATCAAGATAAATAATGTGATTCTATAATAATCCTTAGCATAAATTCCGTGCCTATCGTGCCAACCTTCCCCCAGGTCAGCCGCTGCTCCTAGCACTCCGGTGCAAAGCGGTGAAGCCTGGTGCGTACACGCTGGTAAGACAAAGTGAAGGTTGACACAAGCGACGCAAGTGCCACGGCACTCCGCAGCCACAGCACGAAGGCACGTAGCAGACCTGATAATCAAGTGATCTCATCTGGAGGACAAATGAGCCGCCGCAGTCTGTCGCCGCAAAGTGGCGTGAACATGCGGGGAGGAAAGGAAAGGGGAGGGGAAGGGGGGGGGGGGGGTGAACAGGCGCTTCAGTTATTCGCTACAAGTTGATTCGCTCAAATGACCGCTGTCCGCTAAAAAGTCCTTCGCCGATGTATGTATATGGACCCCAGATCACAGTATACCACCATCCTACAATTTTACTAAGTTTTCTCGCGACTTATATATATATAGTTCCCGACATCGTCTGGCTATTTCGACAATGTCGGCGATCAACTGGCCAGCGCGACTCTCTACTTGGTTTCACCTGAAGTCGACGCTACAACCGACTCTGCGAGCCAGTGGGTCCAACCAAACAGCGTCAAAGTACGACATCATGGCATTCATCTCCCTGTACGTATTCTTCCGTCGGCTAAACCAACCAAGTGCAGCTAATAACCCGTGACTTGCGCTTTTAGTGTGTGCCTTCGAGGTTGAATGCGTTCCGAGCCTTCGACTGTCCTCTGACCTGAGATGAAACAAACTATATGGTGAATAGAGAAACCGTGAAGAAGATATTTGTACCACTTTTCTTTCCTTCTACTTTTCCGAATATTAAAGCCGACCAATAATAATAACTTTCTTTTCTTTAAACCCATTTTGGCGCAGGTGTGCCGCAATTCAGAGCGAAAATGGGGCTTTGATGCAAGATGTAGCAGACTTTCGTTCGTGGCGCAAATGATGCAGCACTCCCATCACCGAGTGCACCGATTCACTTTACAAATTTCTCGAGTTTCATTAGAGATTATAGAAAACATGAGAGAAAATTAGCAATGAAGAGGAAGATCTGCACAAAAAGGTGTGTATGCATAACTGCGAATGAAGTTTATGTGCAGGTGATGTTGTAATTTGTTTATTTTTCTTGCATCCTCGGAGGATTGACATTGCCTTTGAATGCAGTCTACGCATTTTATTCAAGAATAAAATGAAAAATTCAGGTTCACACTAGAACCCACATGCAGGAACAGAATTATTTTAGCCCTGTAACTTCTCACCTAATTAGGGCTGACAGTTCAAATAACAAGCAAAATATACTGTTTCAAATATGCAACAAATAAAAGGAGCCATTTATTAACTATAACTTGGTGCGTAACAGATGTAGATGCAACAGTGCAAAGGATTGTACACAACTGAACGTTTTTTTTTTTCTAAATTTCATTTGCACTTTATTTTCCTAATCTGCTATTCAGCAGAGTAGCCACTGAAAAGCACTGACAAAAAATGACCTGCACGTTCTGTACGCGCTGGCAAAAACAAATGCCTTGCCTAAATCAACACTTGATGGTTGGAATACTCCTAAAGATTACTTAGCTAAAATTAAAAAAAAGAAAAGAAATAGCTCGGAGGTCAAAGACTGTGAAATGGTCACGTGCTGGCAGACTGCTCGTCTTTCTCTTTGTCTGAAGGGGGCTTTTTGAGCTTTGCTTCGTCCTCTGGGCCCTTGTTCCAAGACTCGAGACCCTTTGGGAGGGTCGTGTCCTCCTCGAAGGAGCCTGTGCCTTCGACAAACTCTTCGTACGTAGATTTTTCTGGGAAGGGCCGCTTGCCCAGGAGTTCAATCATGTCCTCCCGGCTAAGGATTTCCTTCTCGAGGAGTCGCTTGGCAATCTGGAACATGCGAATGCACTTGGTCAACAGGCTTCATGTAGGTCAGTATCCTCCCGTTTTTCATTAGGAAAACCGCTTCGTATCACAAAAACATTTTGAAACACTATAAAACACTTTTCACTCGAGCAGAAATTTTTTTTTGTTTTTTCCCTGAATCACAGGCAAGTTTTAGACATAGGAAATTGGAAACAGCGCGCAAAAAGACGAAGACAACGAGAGAAGAGCACAGGACAAGCGCTGCCTCTCATTGTCTTCATCTTTTTGTGCGCTGTTTCCAATTTCCTAAGTCATGAACCAACTCGCTTGCATCGCCACCTTAATAAAGTTTTAGACAGGTTGTCAAGAAGCCTAGGTGTTTCACAACGGAGAGCAGTGTGAAAATTAGAGACATATTACACATGAGAGATTTCTCCAAATTTAAAGGAGCGGTGCAACGATACTCAATTGGAATGTTTTTCACTTTACACGAGCTTACTGGCACTAGTGGGACTCAAGGATACTCACACGCAACGCCACTGGCCAAGAAACTTCTCTGTTGCGGTGTAATTTCAAGGACTAAAGCAATCATTTTCATTCAATCTCTCCTTTGCAAAATTTGATGACATAACGTGGGGATCGCAGTACACCCCAATGACGATATTTGAATGCGGTTCATAGATTGGACCCGAGCACTGCATGGGCACTCGATTTGGGCTCGTGATAAATACTAGCTCGAGAAACGTTCGGGTAGTGGCCAGTGTCCAATCGCTGCAACGACGACAATAGCCGAGCCATAACAATGTCTGGAACTCAGCGCGTGTCCTGTGCTTTGCCAACCCCGGCGCGTGGCTATGATCAACATTGGCGGCATATAATCGGCTCCAGATCACGTGGCCGCTTGTTCTGGCTGCGAGTTGAGGGAATGAACGCTGCTCATTTTTCTTTAATTTTTTTTCTAAGACATCTATTGCGTGGGGCGAAAAACGAACGCGTTTCGTAGGTCACTAACGTCAGGGATCCCTTCTAAGCAGTATTTGCGCAAAATACAAAAATTGTTGCATCGCCCCTTTAAAACCAGTTCATCCAAACTATTCTGCCACCTGTTCAAACCTAAGATTCTTGGCTAAGTAAATCAAACTAAGAGCTTATTGAACATGTTCCTTATGGACCGAAACCCTTGGTTCAGTAGAGACTGAAATTACCGACTGTCAGGGAAAATGTAGCCCTGCTCTTTGCTTATTTGGCAGACACCCCTCGACGCAATTGAAGGCAGAGCACACACGTGGGGCTCAGACATACCTTCTCCACATCAGCCTTATGCTCTGTGAGGAGTGTCATGGTGTGGTCGTAGGCCTGCTGCACCATCTTGCGCACTTCAGAGTCAATCATCTGCGCAGTCTCCTCACTGTATGGCTTGTCCAGTACCATGTCCCCAGGCTGAGGCATGTCAAAGCTGAGGTTGCCAACCTTTTCGTTCATGCCAAACTGGACCACCTAAAAAAAAACGGAGTGATCGTTATTCACAACGGGTTCTCAGCACAATAAGGTGCTGGCACCTGCCACCTAAAAAACTAATCCAGAAATATACAATTTTTATTGGAGATTCATCTCTGCCAACTCACTAAACCATACTAAAGCAGGCTAGGGGTTCTGATTAAACTGTAGCACACAAAGAATAAATGTTTTTCTTTTACTGCTGTATAAAAAAAAACGAAAAAGAGAAATGTGCCAAATAAACGCGAAGTAAATGGTTATAAAGACGAGACACGTCAGAAGTCGCAAATGGACGGCGCTCATATTAGAGGCCCCGACACCACTGTACCTGACAGCGTTGATAGACTAGCTGGTGATGACTGCCCATTTGGTCAAAAAATGTTTTGTCTGATCAGATGGCTAGAGGTCTGCACAAGCCACTAGTCATAAGCCCAATCCAGCCCCACCTGCCATCACAAGGGCCTGCAGCGTGCTATCGGTATCCAACTGCTGGCTTGGCACGACACTACTTCAGAAGGGTGCATTCAGGCACATTCTATTTTCTCCATACGTTACGAAGCTGGGTTTCCAGTTCCTGATGCTGTCGGCTTTACAAATCGGCACTGTAATTCCTTTTTAAGACATTCTCCCATCTTGGCGTAAACTAAAAAGGGTGCTTCTTTTTTTGTTCGTCCCTCGTTTCCATCAAAATTTCCAAGGCCAAGATGCTCGAAACTTTTTTTTTCTTTTGTTGTTATTACTAGAATGATTATTACTAAGCAGCAGAACTGAGAGAATCCCTCCAGGTTCTCTCAATTCTACTGCCCCTCAATCAAAAACGCCTGTCTCCTTCAGTCTCCTTCTGTGAAAAAACAAGCTCACCAAGAGAGACCAGAAAAAAAAAAAGATAACAAGAAACAAAAGTCCGATTTGGGGGTTTTACGTGTCAAACCAACGAAGGGCATCTGACACGCCCCACAGCAAAGGACTGAGGATTGATTTTGAACGACTGTGGATCTTGTCGTGCGAGCGAAATCTCGGTTACACGGCACCTTTTCCGTAATAAGCCCCATCATACGGCGGGCACCATGGCCGGGATTCAAATCAGTGTTCAATAGGCCGGCGCTTTGCCTCGGAGCCACCAAGGCAGCTAACAAGAAACAGTAGATGGGAACATGAGCGCAGTGCTAGGCCAAAAAGGGAATGAAGCATCTCGATCAGTCCGCATGAAATATTAAAGCGGCCGTTCCTGCTGTGCATGGTTAAAAACAGTGTCGAAAGAACAGGGCCATCTCTTGCAGTGGATTCAGAAAAAAAAAGAAAAGGAAGCTTCAGGGGAAACAAAATGCCCTAAACATAATGACCTTCACAAAAGCAAGATTTTAACCCAGATTGCGTACAGACTCGACGCATCTGCTAACCTGTACCATGCATGCTTATCAGTGTATTTGTGTCTGCACCCGTTCAAGAAAGGAAAAGCGTCGACAAAAAGTCACCATGCTGGTGGTGGTGGTGAAGCCCTCGGCACTGACTTTCCCATTTACAGCCCAGATGAAAGTATATAGGATGTCCGCGAGAAAATCGAACCTTGTTTTTCGCACCGGGAAAAATAAACTGCACATTGAGGACAGCTCAAATTCTGTCAAAACGTAGCCCCAGCCGTTCAAGCAAGATGCGTTTCAGCACTTACCATTACCGGAATAAAAAGTTAGAAGTGAAAAACTGTTTTTGTCTATGAGTCGACGCCGTCCTTGAAAAGCAGCAGATGTTTGCAACCGCATCTCACAGATGGCGCCTCCACCGGCCAGGGGTTTTCGGATAGTTTCGGTCTGTCGGTTTGCAGCACAGTACCGTCGCATCGTTTCTCACCTCTCGGTTTGGGTACAATTCCAGGTTGGACTTTTGTTAACCCAGCTCGCTACATTCTGTATTTGGATAATGCTTTTGTTTATCCTGAATGAGGATGCTTTGTTGCTTCACCAGCTGGCTCAGCATTTTTGTTGTTGCAACGCGAGCCTTTCACTGATTTACAGGTCGAACATAAGTGTGCGAAATCAAACTGTATAAGATGAAGATAACAAAGGGAGCGATATTTGAGGAGGAAAGAGAATCTTCTTTGCATGTGGATTCACAGACACGGGACAGCAGCCATGACATGAGTGGCCAGGCTCCATGACGACAGCATTTGGCAGCCCTGAAAGGGCCTTTGTCGGGGTACTCAAATAAATAAACCATACACTCGATGGGAAGGTGTAAGTTTGCTTCGTAGATTGTTGTCCGATCAGTCCTGGGCAGGGCCCTACCACTCCACTTCAGTCGGAACCAGGACTTCGACGTGGCTTCCTAGGCGCCAAGTGCAGAGGCCAAGCCTGGTCTCACACCCTCCGAATGATGCAGCTTGCATCTCGTCCGTGATGAGAGCGAACGCTGCCTCGATGCGCCGCTTTAAGGTGTCGAGTGTGAGGATGCGGCCCTTGTACACCTGGGACTTCACAAATCCCCAAACGAACAAGTCACATATTGTGAGGTCTGGCAATCGGGACGGCCACGGCATACTCAGCGATCCCCGGCCCATCCAGCGTGCTGGAAAGATGGTGTCCAGCTAGTGCCTTACACTCCTCGCCCAGTGCGGTGGCGCCCCATCTTGAATAAAAATGTGTATGTCCCGCTGCATGTGCGGTGCTTTCAACTCAAGAAACTCATCCTGCATCATCTGCTGGTAGGTGTCTCCAGACATGTTGCCGTCGTAGAAAAAGGAGCCAACGACAGCCTCTCTTCAAATTCTGCACCAGACTGTTACTTTCGGCAACTGCAAAGCCCTTTCGAGCGTCCAGTGCAGATTCGTCGAACTCCAATAGCAGCAGTTCTGGGTGTTGACCTGCCCGTCCAGGTGAAATGTTGCCTCATCACTAAACAGCGAAAACTGCAGATGTGATGGACCTTGTGCAATCTTGAGGAACTCGTCCCGACAAAAGTCGAGTCACTTCTCGTAGTCACCAGGCAACAACTCATGAATCGGGCCAAACTTGTACGGGCGCACCTCGCGGATAGCTTTGCACATGGTGTGCTTGGATACACCGAACAAACGTGCAGCTCTTTGTGAAGACAAATGGGGTCTGCCTCGAAGGCACCGACGATGGCGAAGCGGAGCTCTTCCTCTTGAGGAGGAACGTGGAAGACGTGCGTTTTGTTCTTGACGCTACCTTCTGGAAAGCGCCGGGCCCACGTCCAGATCACCAACTTGGAAGGTGACCGTAAGCCGAACTCCAAGAACTTGTGCGTGACCTTTTTAAAGCTCCCCAGTTCGGCGTACCACAGTATGACCCGACTTCATTGTTTGCGTGTTAACTGCAGCATAAGAAACGCCAGTTGGTAATAAAATATAACTGAACTTAAACAATCAATGCAGATGCACGTGGATTACCGCCAGCCAACGTTACTAAAACACTCAGTTGGGAAACTGCCATCGAGATTCCTCTGAAAAAGTGTCCCCGATCTGTCCTCGAGCACCGAGCTAATGGCGAACACAACGCCGCCATTTCTCCCACAGCGGCCACCCGTGGAACTGCACGTGACATCTATTTTGGCTTTAATCGGCCATTTTAGCGCCGAAACAGATACAGCGGAAGAGGTTACAGGGGTGCCACCCCCGTCTCCCCCAGCAGACGCGCCACGACTTACTACCAAAGTTAAAATGCACCTAGGTCGGGACGCGCTACCTGAAAGCACCGCTGAGGCGTGGTTGTATAAAAACAATATTAATTGTACCGCAAAACCCTGCAAACTAAAGATTTTAAAAACATCACGCGCCCATCATTTTGTACTAAACTCCAATCAATTTCATACAAAAAGAGTCTTTTCCGTTTGTTTTTATGCAAAAACAAGCTTTATAAAAACTCAAGGTGACCACAGTACACACAAATGATAAAGAGTGGCGCTGTTGTCGTATTTAGCTCGGTCTCGGTGGACGCCAGCGGCCCAAGTTTCGACGGCGAGTTTCCCAACTGAGTATTTTAGTAACGTTGCCGCCAGCGTTCGTGAAGACAGAAGGGGACGACGTTTGCTTTGGTATTTATCAAAATGCCTTTTCATAAAAAAAAAAAAAAAAAAAAAAACTTGAGTGACAATTTCAGATTTTTTATTTACTTTTGTTTCCTTCTATTACACAACCGACAAAGTTGAGGACAAGGATACAATACTTTTGTCAGGTATTGCAACTCTATCGCCGGTCGTTCGGGTTAGACAAGCGAGGGAGCGCAGGAAGCCTCGAGGGCAAGTGGCGTCATCCGTGAGATGTGGTAGCAAACAGCAGCATTCCATCTGCTGCTTCTCACGGACAGCGTCCTCTCATAGATGAAAACAGTTTTTCACTTATAACTTTTAATTCCGGTAATGGCGAGTGTTGAAACTTTGGCATCGTTCTCGAACGGCTGGGGCTACATTCTGACGGAGTTCGAGCTCTCCGCACTGTCTAGTTTATTTTTGCGGTGCAAAAAACAAGGTTCGGTTTTCTCGTGGACGCCTGGTATGTCTTGTCTTATAAAAATGAGCTAAATGTTAATGCACTCTAGAAGGCATCACCAAATTTGTGGGCTCCTCTTCCCCTACAAACAGCTTTGCAAGATATTTGTGCTCCGAGAGAAATACTAGGTCCGCCTCGTAAATGTGAATGCAAAATCCTAGTGGGCCTGTTAGGAGTGCAGCACTAAAGCTCGAGCCCAATATGTGGTTTGAGGGCTGGCCCATAAATGTAAAGATCATAGAGACAGCACCGGGCGTCAATCAACAAGAATTTGGTGATGTCCTGCTAGATAAAGTGCACCATGAGTAGAGCCCTTAATATCCACAGATTACCCGCGGATCATCCACAGATATCCACAGTCAACTGGTAGATGTGGATAAAAATGAATTAGATAATGCGGATTGCAGATCGGATGCCAGGGACTGCGGATGCAGATGGGGTGTGGATATCTGCAGGTTCGAATCTACATTTTTGCCAAGGCAGCTCATAAACCTGTGCGACCGCAGAGTGTAGAGTGAATAAGCGAGTGATACTATGAAGTGTATTATTGAATGTTGTGGGAGCAAATTCTCTCTTAAAGGACACATGCAAAGGAAAAAAACTTTTTTTTTAAACAGGCTAGATGGAAAAAGAATATTATATAATGAATTTACAACTAAGAAAAAAAATTTAGAGCTATATTTATGGCGCAAAACGAATTTGTAGTTGGCGCCCGCAAGAGCCGCCGCTGGTAACGTGGTCGGCCCACGCGCCGCCACGCTGCGTGGCCGCCGCCGCAAAGTCACGCCGCCGCCGACGGCGGTGTGGAGAAATGCGTTGTGCGATGCCGCTTCAGCGCGTTTCTCCACGCCGCCGTCACACAAGTTTGTCTGCTTCGGGGCGCCGCCGCCGTCATCTGACCGGCGCACAGGTCTATCACGTCTCCTTGCACTTTTTCAGGAGTTTCCTTTGGGCTCTAAAAGTTACTTATTAATCTTAGTTTTTTGTTATACTTCAAACAAAGATGAATAAGTTACTTTTACAGGCCATAGGAAGCTTCCGAAAGAGCGCAAGCACCACGTGATAAATAAGGGCCAATCACGTGATAAATAAGGGCCACTTTTCCGCGGCGCCCGCGGGTGCCAACTACATATTCGTATAGCGCCGTAAATATAGCTCTAAAATTTCTTTTTCTTTGTTGTAAAATTGTTTTATGACATCCTTTTTCCATCTAAGCTGTTTAAAAACAAACGTTTTTTTTCCTTTGCATATGTCCTTTAAAATAAAACTGCCAATCGAAAAAAAAATCTTTATGCTCAGAAAGACCTGATTCTCACCAAAAGATTGTTTACAAGTTCTATCTTGGCCATAAATGCTGTCTCTAGAAAAAATTAAAAAATGCAGGGGCATCAATTGTCTCGGGAAAGCGTGTTCTTGTTTGACGGGGAAAGAGCGGAAAACATTCTTCAGCCAAACAAAACCCAAAATGTACACAAGGCACAAGAAAGTAGAAGAAGCCTCGTCGAAAAATAAAATTTGGCGAGTGCGTGCATCTTTTTTTTTTTTTCCCGCGACAATTGGCAAGTTGTACGTCGTCCGAAGCACGCAGTTGCGGGTTTGTGCTTAAAACAAACCGATATGAAGTGCTGCATTATTAAGTATTGTGATATTTTCCCAGTAAAGTACTTGCGTCTTACCATGTATAGGTATACAAGTGTTGCGGTGAGTGACTGCCTTTCCTCTCTCATTTTTTTATTGTTTGATCTAAATAAAATGACACAATGTTCTTAGTCTCCTTTATTAATTTTTATTATTAAAAATATGTGTCTGCTTAAAATAAATGTTACAAAACAAAAAGAAAGCAAATTAAAATGTCCTTCCCTTTGAGCAGAGTGTCGCAGAGTCGCACTCTGGGCAGTGTCGCAGACTCCCAGGACAATCTCACAACTGCAATCATCTTCCCAGCGACACTAAGTATCTTTGAAAGGATGATCGCTTATTATATAAATATAATAAAACATATTATAAAATTACTTTTACCATATTCTGACTCAAAGACTTCTCTGCAATAAGATAAGCAAACGGCGTATAAGGTACCATCCAGACGCTTTTTTTTTTTTTTTCCATTCACGGTTGATTTCATGATGTAACATGAATGTGCAAATTATCGGTCGGATGCGGTTCCGAATTTTGCGGATGTGGTTTGAGTGCGGATACGCTTGCAGATGCGGATCGGATGTGGATGATCAAACTGTTATCTGCGCAGGACTCTAATCATGAGCTGCAGGCAAACCGTCCAAAGACCATATGTTGCACAACCCAACACTGAGCAATTCATGTCAGAGATCCCAGGTCGTTTCCATTGATATAGTATTCTTTGAAAACAAACTGCAAAACAAAATATTTTTGCAGTTCGGCCCCTCACGGGGTACTAGCATAGTTCCAAAAGGCTGAAGTCAGAGAACTTACTTGAGCATAAGCACTCTGTGTGACCTTCTTCAGATCATCTTGGGCGCCTGTTGTGATCTTGCCAAAGAAAATCTGCTCAGACACCCTGCCTCCCAACGTCATGCACATACGATCAAAAAGCTGCAAGCAAATAAAAATGAATTTCAGACAGCAGACATAAGCAGTAAGGCAACAAGAATGTCCAACAGCACTGAGACACATGTGGATCTTGTTGGAAAGAATTATACTAAGGCGTGTTTCACATGCTGTAATTCTGCGGTCAAAAACTGTTGCCGCTAGCGGTGCAGCAGCATGGTTTGCTAGGTTTCATTTCCCATAAGTCATCGACAAGCGTTTTCTGCCGCTATGATGCCCAATGTTGCTCGCAGAAAGCAGACAAGCACAATGGGTTTCAGTGGCTTCCAATAACAACCTCAATGTCTTAATTGTTGTTTCTCTCTTTGATTTTATTGATTGAAAGATAATCATGCATATTAAACAAAAAAAATATCTTGCATTGAATTTGCTTAGCGTTTTCTAAAAGGTCGTCTTAACAGCACTTAAAGGCCGACATACAACCTCGGTTTTCTGCAGGGAAGATAATTCCTCGTAGCAATCTCCTCTCCTAAGCCGCGAGGAGAGCCAAGTTGGGGCAAAGTAAAAAGTGGAGAGGATGTAGGAAAGGAGGATGCGGGCGAAAGTGGAAAGCACGAAGTGTACGTCGGCCTTTAAGTTACTGTAAAACCCTTTATTTCCATGGCCCTGATTTTTCGCGAATTCGGCAGCTGGGTCATACTCGCGACCATTAAATTTCGCGAATTCTGAAGGCTGAAATTGACCTCTACAGACAATACAAATATTCGCACCCACTAAAGTTTGCAAATTTTACAAGTCCCCAAATTCGGAAAAATTAGGGGCTCACGAACATTAAGGGAGTATTTACCAGGGAATGTGAATACATACACACTCAACGAAACGGGACATGACCTTGCAAAGAATGTTAAAAAAATCGAGCCAGACAGACTGAACCCCTCTAAGGCAGAAAACACCACTGAAGAAGAAAATGGGCACACCAGAAAGGACCCTACACGAGAAACCAGAATGATCACATATTTTCCCTACGTGTCGTCTGGTTGAAATGTGGAAACACTGTCCTATGCGCAAACTTTCCCACAATATTTCTTCTCGTGTCATGGAATTGCCCGATATGCGGTGAATGGCCTGCAGGGATGCTGCTGCTCTGCTGTCATGTAACAGCGCATAAATTGCCGCTCGGCCACTGTGGTTGGGCAGAGCAGCCCGCAGTGGAAATCGCGCTGCTCCAAGATAAAAGTTGCTGCATGTAAAATGCATTTCATTCTATCACAAAAAAAAAAAAAAAGTATTTGAAAAAATAAGACGTTTACAAATCCCTGTAACGCGAAATTAGAGCACAGCTCGTGAGGAGGAGAGGAAGGTATTCCCCTCCTCCTCCTCCGTACCCTCTCCTCCTCTGCTCCTCATCCTCCTCCCCTCCTCCTGCATACCCTCCCATCCTCCTCCCTCATACCCTCCCATCCTCCTCCTCCATACCCTCCCCTCCCCCTCCTCTGTACCCTTCCCTCCTCCCCCAGTTTCCCCGTTAAATTTAGCTGAAAAATAGACGCCACATGACCTCAACAGCAATTAAATTACCCGCGAAATTTAGCAAGGAATTGAAATGCTCTTGAGGTCACGTGGCATTAATTTTCCCGCTAAATCAAGCGGGAAAACTGGATTTGTTCATAGGTGACGTGATACCAAATCATGTGGCGTCATTTTTCCCGCTAAATTTAGCGGAAAATTGAACTGGTGTTCAGGTCACATGACGGCAATTTTCACGCTAAATTTACCGCGGTTACGCCAACGGCAACACCGCGAAACCCGGAACTGGGCACTTAAAGGACACATGTAAAGGAAAAAAGCATTTTTTTTTAAACAGCTTAGATGGAAAAAGGATATCATAAAACGATTTTACAACCAAGAAAAAAAAATTTTAGAGCTATATTTACGGCGCTATACGAATTTGTAGTTGGCGCCAGCGGGCGCCTGGGAAAAGTGGCCCTTGACAGTCCCATATTTGTCACGTGGTGCTTGCGCTCTTTCGGAAGCTTCCTATGGCCTCTAAAAGTAACTTATTCATCTTTGTTTGAAGTATAACAAAAAACTAAGATGAATAAGTAACTTTTAGAGCCCAAAGGAAACTCCTGAAAAAGCGCAAGCAGACGTGGTAGACCTGTGCGCCAGTCAGACGACGGCGGCGGCGCCCCGAAGCAGACGAACTTGTGCGGCGGCGGCGACGGCGGCGTGGAGAAACGCGTTGAAGCGGCGTTCGCACAACGCTCAGCGTGCGGCGGCGACGCAGCGCGGCGGCGCGCGGGCCTACCACGTGACCAGCGGTGGCTCCCGCGAGCGCCAACTACAAATTCGTATAGCACCGTAAATATAGCTCTAAAAATTTTTTTTCTTCGTTGTAAAATGGTTTTATGACATCCTTTTTCCATCTAAGCTGTCTAAAAAAAATGTTTTTTTCCTTTGCATGTGTCCTCTAAGAGCTGCGCTCTAAAAATAAATAACTTGTGTAAACATCCAACAAGGGCTTGCCTAAGCCGTGATTTTAGAAGTCGCCATTACTACCTGCTGAGTGGTGTAGAGATACTGCTCCTTGGGAAGGTACTGTGCATAGCCCAAGCCTTTCCCACGTGGAATGATGGACACCTTGAGCAAGGGATCAGCATGCTCCAGAAACCAGCCTGCCACGGCATGTCCAGCTTCGTGGTATGCCACTGTCTTCTTCTCTTCAGGTTGTAGAACATTTGTCTTCTTCTCCATGCCTGCAATAATGAAGTTGAGCAGGCAGTATATTGTGATTGGTATGAAATCATGATAGTAAACAGGAAAGTCACAAACATTTTTCGAATGTGGGGATCGTCTAGCTCAGCAAACCTTCAAACTTTTAGAAAAGTTAGATGAGGTCCGACTTTTGAACAGTGTTGCCTGGCTTTTACACAAACATTTCAAACATTAGGGTAAAATACCTTTACAGCAAATACATTTTACATGTCATGAAAACAAACACAAACTTTGAATGATTTTGTTTGTATGTTTGTGAAGCAACACACAAACAATAATGCAGCTTTTCTCTGCAAGGTGGCGTTAGCTCGTTTTTCAATTCCACGCATGTGCGTAGCAGTGAAACTTGAGCCAAACTTTTGTCAAACCTTGCAATAAAATTAAAACTTTGGATTGGACTAGTTAGTTCATTGGACTAGAGGACTTAAAAGCGCAAAAACACGGATGAAGAAGAGACACATACAACACGGACTGGCATTCACTTTCAACTGATTTAATCGAGGGAAACCACCCAGCACACATGCGTGAAACCTCTTTCCTATCTTGCTAACCCCCTGAAATATAAGCAACCCATAAACACAAACAACAGATGACAATGATTAAAACATTTGTATCAGTTAAACGTGTCTACACAAAACCATTTAGAAAAGAAACTTCCTTCTCATTTAATAAAATCGAAGGCGTGCTGATACAATTGTCACTCAAGGACTTTATAAAATATGCTCAAACTATTTCCCTTTCAGTCTTGATGATTGCTCTCTTAATAAATTTTGTTAATTCTAACGGGATCACACCCGCACCGCATGCAGTGTACTGCAAGGCGTCCCCCTGCTTTGTTACGAACCACTAGACAATGTTCACGCGCCCTTTCATTAAAACACCGCCCAGTCTGTCCAATATACACGTGCCCGCACGTTAGTGCAATCTCGTAAACAACATTAGAGGCACAAGCTGTGTACTGGGTGACGTGCTTCTTCGAGCATTGAACACGTTTCTGTCTAGTCATCATAGGACAAACTTTTACCAGCTCGCATGAAGTGGAGAAAACAACATTGACATCATACTTAATTGCTATCTTCTTAAGGTTGTGCGACACCTTGTGTAAATAAGGTATCACTTGAACTCTTTTTGATTTTTTTAACTTAATCTCGCTGACCATCCCGTGTTGCCTTTACTTTTGATCTTTTGTAGGAGGTTTTCACACACGCTGTTAATCAAGCAGGCGGGGTAGTCTGCCCTGTCTAAGCATTCCACCTGAAATCCAAAGCTAGTCGTCAAAGCGTTATGGCAGCTTTTTGTCAGAGCAGCCTGAAGACAGGTGAGAGAAATTCCTCGCTTTATCAGCTTAGAATGAGTGCTATCAAAAGACAAGAGGCTCTTTCTTGAACATGGTTTGTACAACCAGCACATGTGTTCATCTGTAAAAGTAAGCTGTATATTGGACAGACTGGGCGGTGTTTTAACGAAAGGGCATGTCAACATTGTCTAGCGGTTCGTAACAAATCTGAGGGACACCTTGCAGTACACTGCATGCGGTGCGGGTGTGATCCCCTGTTAGAATTAACCAAATTTATTAAAAGAGCAAACAACAAGGCTGAAAGAGAAATAGTTGAAGCATATTTCATAAAGTCCTCAGGTGATAACTGCATCAGCGCACCTTCAATTTTACTAAATGACAAGGAAATTTCCTTTCTAGATGGTTTTGTGTAGACACATTGAACTGATACAAATGTTTAAATCATTGTCATCTGTTGTTTGTGTTTATGGGTTGCTTTCATCACAGGGGGTTGGCAAGATAGGAAAGAGTGTTCTTGCATGTGTGCAGGGTGGTTTCCCTCGATTAAATCAGTTGAAAGTTAGTGCCAGTACGTGTTGTATGCGTCTCTTCTTCGTCCATCTTTTTTGCGCTTTTAAGTCCTCTAGACTTGCAATGAAAGCCCGAAATGGTTGAACCCAGTGGCGTACACAGGGGGGGGGGGGGGCCGAAGAGGCCGTGGCCCCCCCTGAAATTTCCGAGGGGGTGGGGGAGTCAGCGAGGTTACTGACTCTCAGGTTTATCAATATCAAACTTCGTGGAGAAGTTGTAAAGAAAAAAAAAAGGAAATAAAAAAGGAAGGGAATGCAATATGCCATTTATGACATAGTAAAATTAATAAAAAAGTATGTAGTTTTAACATCTTTTATCTAATATGACTGGAAAATAATCAATTAACGAATATCTTTCTTTACTTCTACTTTTATTATTTCGCGAGCGCCTCATGTCCCTCTCGCGGAGCCGCCAGGGCTGGTTTGTCGTCGCCACGGAGCGGCCCCTGTGTCCCCTGCCTTAATTGTTCCTCGAGGACCCCGCTCTGGGTGCGTACCATGCGCTGTGCCTCGCTCGAGCACAGCAGGGCCCCTCAATGTTTTGTAGCCTTCTTTTATTTTGAGAAGAAGCGTCGGTACTGCTCTTGCACCCCAACGAGGGGTTTTTCCTTGAAGCGGTGTCCGGCTGACGGTCGACAGTTAGGGCGAAGGTTTTTAGGAGTTTTCGGGGGTCTATGCACGTGTCCTTTCTTAATAGACCGATGTCACCAAGCGAACTGCGCAGGCGCGCGTATTCCGGAAGTGGTGTCGCCGCCATGCTACTTGTAGTCATCCCTTCCTGGCTTCCCGGCTACATACGGCTGCGCGTACGTACATCATCATTGATTATCATTTGGCACGCCCCGGTATCACCTTGATTCTCTTGCATGTTTTTACTTCATAAGATTGTGTTGCTTGTGATGCCTTACTTTCCTTCGTTTGTTACATTTTTGGCGGTAAGTACGTGTTGCACTTCTAAATTGAATTATGTAATCTTTTCGCGTTGGTATGAAAAAAGAAAAAAAAAAAATGAAGGCTGCTTCCGAAAAAAAGTTGTTTTATATCAAGTGGTGCCTTTCAGGAATCGCCACTATTTTTTAGTGATTGTCCTGATCTTTCGAAGCACAGTTGTGCTTGAAACATGTCGTCGCAGTAACAGTAATAACCACCAAAATACAATGAATAAGAAGTGTATTAAAAACGGCCTCCACAAAACAGTGCGGAGGTCCTATTTGAGATAGACCGCTACGGAGTAAATGGTCAGAGAGATTCCAGCTTACGGAACACTTCGGCACGCTCTATGTCTCGTGCCCTGTAATCTTACATATTTTAGCTGACGTGCAATAATTGTATATAAAGTATTAAGCAAATCGGCGAAACAAATCGTAAAACGCTATTTTTCCTGCCGCTCTGTCCGGCTCTGTCGACCTTTCTTGCGGGAAGACATAATATCCGAGGACTTTTTGCCTGGTGCTGTTATTATAGCTCCGTGGCATTCAACATGTAAAGCCACCGATCGAAAACCATGAGTCGACACCTGGCTAAATGTCTCGTGCTAACCCGACGCCGGGCGTACAATGCGCACCGACGCGGCCGGAAAACTGGGGAGAACTACAGGTACCAGAATGCACCGCGGCAGCGGTGGCGTTGCGCAACTCCTCGTGAGATCGGTCTATTGGATTTTGTATTGTGTGTGTTTGTTTTGTACCGCGTGGCTCCCATTGGTCTAAAAAGAGCGATATCTGATTGGCTCCTCGGATGGCGGGAAAAGTCTTAGAAAAATGAATATAGGCGCCTAAAGGCGCGGGATTTGCGGTTCAAGGTTCGAATGCGGAAGTTGTCATCGGCAGTTTGAGAACCACGCGAGATAGGGGCGCGAGTGTGCGACCTGCTGCCTCAGGACGAGAGCCAAGTGCAATATGCGAGTGTGTAAACCATTTTACATCGTCCCTTTGTTGCGTTGTGTGACTTCCTTGACTTTCTTTTGTGAGCGGACTTCGGAAACCTAAGAAATCGACACCAACGAACAAATCACGTGAGATTTTTGTTGGTTAGATCAGGTTAATATAGGGAGTACTTTATGGTGGAGCAGCTTTCCAGTGCTTATAGTCTATCCATCAAGATGTTCCGCGTTTCTACTTATGCATCATTCTTTTATCAGCCCCGATGACTGGAGGCTTTGTGCATTGGAGTCGTGCTTCATAAAATATTTGTTTTTATGATTCTTGTTTTCTGCTTACTCTGGTGCCTTCTTTTAACGTGACTTGTAAATAAAAAAAAGTAAAATGCAAATGCCTTCCTGGTGGGGAATTTCCGGGGCATCATTTTTATGCATCATAATCATCCCAAAACCAATATGACAACTTTATTTTAATTACTTAATAGAAGAATGCATAGTTATTAGAAAAAAAAATGAGCATGCTTTTATTTTCTCTTGGACTTTCTTTTCTTTTCATCTTGTCCCCCTTTACTCTCGTTGGTCCGGCCCCCCGCGAAATGAAATCCTGCGTATGCCCAGGGGCGGATGCAGGAATTTCCTGAGGGGGGGTCAGGTGTTGGTCAGCGTACCATATGTTTAGGAACCCCCTGCCCCTCTCCCTTGTTTTACGCCCTAAATTGTACACATGTAAAAATCAAGAGGGGGGTCAGGACATCCGGACCCCCCCTCTAAATCCGCCCTTGCGTACGTACGCCACTGGTTGAACCTGGTCGAACATAAACTTAAGCAGCTTTGCAACATCCCTAGTGGATCCGTTCTGAGGTGTTGGTTTTACAGTCAATGTGAATTCAGCTTGAGTATAGCTGAAATTGCTCTATTTCCAGACACTGTTTCTGCACCCATGAAACCTCATTGTAAATGTGATGCAAAATATTATTTCTTTGCCTAACGAAATTAGTATGGTTGCATATTGATGCTTCCAAAGGCGATGTCTCGAAATGAGAAGCATTTTCATTTAATTCATAAATGACAGAAAGGTAAAAAAAAGAGTCAAACGCAATAGCTATACATATATACTCCCGCTCGTTCCCAGGCCGTGCAGCGACTCTGTGTGGCCTAGCCAGTAGCGTGTCTGGCTCTCAACCGAAGGTTCGTGGGTTTGAATCCCGCCTAAAAGTCTTCAAATGTTTCTTTAAGGCAAATCAATTCATTTATAAAGTCGCCTCATTTGAGACATGAGGCGACCTTTAATTCGCATTACATGTCATGTTTTTTAATCATTTTCCTTCCACGCATGACATCAACGCGAGCGTTGTGGGTTGTTTGAAATTCCCACGCGAGGTCATGTGGCTGTGACGTCATGACCCTATCGACCAATCAGGATTTTCCCGTCACAACACCACTGACGCCGGCTTTCCTGCAACACAAGTTTCTTAATGCTATGGCATTAAAAATCACTTGCTACAAAATATTAACTTCAGGTGCACTTATTAACTCAACAGCAGTTTCAATATCTCGCAGGTTACCCAATCTCAAGAACAGCAATTATTCTGAAGTGACAGACTTACTGACAGAATTCAAGAATTCTTGTCTGTGCCGCTAACTGTTGGGTTAAGGAAGTGCACTGCAATTTCCTGCGGGCAGCAGCTTGCAGGGGCTAACATGCCATAGTAAATATAACTCTTTTCTGCTACATTGTAAAGAGGGTGAAATGCACTACTTCATTCTAACTATTTTGCGTGATGTGTACTCCTCTTTGTATGATTTGTCTTCAGAAAAACTTTGTTATGGGAGCCAGTTAGTGAATTCAAATCACCATTTCCAAGTGAAGAGGCGCAATTAAAAAAAGGTCATTTAGATTGCCTTTTTTGACAATGCCATGCCAGCCCCAATCATGTGATAAGGCTTGTCATTTTAAAAACATCAACAAAATTGAATTCTAGATGCTAGATAAGCCTGAACTGTTCAATGGCAGTGAGATGCCCATAAAAGCAACGCTTTGAGAATGTTTCAAGAGACAAGGTTGCACGCAGAGCAGCATGTGCTGCAGCGTTCCCTCTCATACTGTTCACGATAGTACACCACATATTAGAAATTACTCAAATTTCATAAGGATCGAGATGTCAATATTTTCAACGACACCCATGAATGGTTCAACTTTAAGACCATATAAAGACAACTTGGGCTCTGTCACCCATATTCAACTATCAGATCAGGAAAGCAGCACATAAGTGATTCGGAATACAACGATGCAATGGCACAGCAGTTCGATCCCTGGTTCTCATGCAAGCGTGGATAAGATTGCTGCTTCTGCATTCTTCAAACGCCCTGGACATTTCCCCAGTCAAGGCTCACCAGCAACGACTCGTTCAATGGCTTGTTCAAAATGTTTCATGTTGATGCTGTCGTTGAGGTCCCTGGCAGCAATGAGTGCAGCTTCGTTGCAGACATTGGCAATATCCGCTCCTGTGAAAAGGAAAAATTATGTGGCATCGTAACGTGTCCTCTTACATTTTACATTTCTTTGAAATCACAGGAATACAGTGCAGCAGCAAGCAAGCTACAATTAAAGTTGGCAATGTTAACGTTCAACTACAAACCTGTAAATCCTGGCGTCAGAGCAGCCATTTTCCGGGCCAATGCCGCCTTTTCCAAGAGAGTCTTGAGTGGATTCAAGTGCACCTTAAAAATGGAGGCGCTGAAGAGCAAAAAGAGCAAAACAAATAGAGATCAGAACATTATTGTAGACTTCTGCTAGACTACAATTGTCATGAGAGTAGCACATGGTAGGCACGGATGACAAATCCTACCATCACGCCTATTGCACGGTGTAAGGAAACGCTCTTCAGGCGTAGACATGCTGACCTTTGTCGTGACCAAGTAATGTCCCACCACGTGCTAAGGTCCCCAGGCTCACCTTTACATGATGTGCGAGCATGGGTACAGTACGACTGGTTCATGGGTATGGACTGAGAAGATCGAGCCGTTCGTCTGTGTTATGTGTGTGGCTAAAGTGTTTGGCTGTTGCTGGAAGCTACCATTCTGCGTATGATGTGGTATGGGCGGGTGTTTTCTATTTTATTGTCTATTTGTGCCGACTCCTAAACTCTAGTCACACTTAAGTGACACATAAGTGAAACTGACCAACTTCAATCGGCAACAAAAAATTAAAGTTGCTTTGATCATTTTGACAAACCCGGGAAGCACAGAGTGTGTCGTGTGTGCATTATATATCTGTTATGATTTGCTATGCAAGGTTACCGGGAGCTTTGTCTGGTTTTCGGTGCGCTGCACACACGACACATGCTTCTGTTCTCCGGGTTCATCAGAATGATTGAGAAAAGCTTAAACTTATTCAAGAGTGGACTGTGTCACGAGCATGCTTTAATGAGAAGCTTTCCACGAATTCTGCTTCTTTGGTGGGTGCGTGTAGGGCCTTAAATTAGTGCTCTTGAACTGTGAAGACCCCTTGTGGTAACAGAAATAATCACGAGTGGAAAAGGTTTCTCATGCCCTTTAGGCTCTCTTTTGATTGAAGTATGAAGTTGTGACGTCATACGCCCGCTGGGGTATCCCTTGGTACGTTACGATCCACCCTGTGATGTTGCGAGTCCATGTGGGGAACTACGCTTTGTCATTCGGGAGCCAGCTGTGCGCTGCCGACTAAGTATGCTCGACTAGGTATGACTTGCCGCCAACTGTAGCCTGTGGACTAAGTATGGTAGAATAACCATGACTGACCACCAACGGTCACCAGCAGACTATGTGTGACTCGCCGCCAATGGTCGCATGCGTACTAAGCATGCTGAACCAAGTATCACTCAATGCGGGAAGTGGAGTGCTACCGCAGGCAACCGTCAGTGGCAGGTGATACGTAGTCTAGCTGCTTGCACTCTCTGCCATGTCGTCTTTGTGGCACCAAGAAAAGACGTTGGACTGCGGATTGCATGGTCTGTCATACGATTCCCGCTGAGCCCCTTGGTAAATCTCGCTGGTTGCGATTAATTGTGCGTAGTTATGATTATGAAGAAGTGATTAGAACTAAGTATGCCTTATATATGCTTCAGATGCTTATGCATTGCTTGCTATTGGCTATGCATGCTTCATGTTACCTTGACGTGTGTAACACTTTTTCGTCACACTTGAGCGTTACACTTTTCGCATAAAATCCAGCCCATTAACACATGGTGTGTTAAAAACGAATGACCGCTTTATGGAAATTCTCTATTTCAGATGGCACACACAATATTGAGACATGCAAGCAAGAAAGCTAATTTCGTAGTGGGATTGATGTCACAAACCAAATACACAAAATAGTGAAAACGGAATTGGATAACATAAAAAAACATGGCACAAGTATTGTAACTAGTAGCTGCTTATGTAACAAATGGTAATAAATGAGTGTTTTCATTTGTATGTTCATTGTCAACATTTCTCATGACTCTCGACAGTGGAGTAAACACACACTCGTAATTCAAGCAGCATTCCCTTTTGTTTTTGAAGCCTACCTCAGATCTCTAAGGGCTCTTAATTCAGATGGTGCAGGACCAGCCTTCCATGTGAAACGCAAAAAACCCCAAACCCCGGCGAAAAATCTATGGTCAACATGTCTATGAAACATTTAATCGAAATATTCATTTTCTTTCGAGAAGATGAATTTTGAAGTTTATGCGTACACCTCTGGATCCCTTGTTGCTGCTCTACTGGCAATAACAAGCAGGGGGCACTCGTAACGTCAAAGATTGTATCCGAGAGCAGACGACACTCCCTCCTCCACGGCGCTATCTGCATTGTAGTGATGGTGAGCGTCTCTGGTTTTATGAATTGCGTCTGGTCTAGGTTGTTCGCGGCATACGATGGAGGGTGGGGGGAATTGGTGATTGGCTGTGGGGTGCAATACCACCACGAAGAAATGCAGCAGAGCGACATCTTATTGGTTTCCGACTGAGGAGTCTCTGCGACGGAAGTGGTTCTGAGCAGTACGATGCAAACGCTGGCTCATAGCGTTCACATCGTGCTAGACAACAGTTTGCACCTTGCTAGCAAATAAAACCTTCCGTGCCATCTTGCTTCGAAGCAGATCGCGAATGCAGTCCCCACTGAAGGTCCCGTGGAAGGAGATGCTGGCGGATCGAATGCGAACGGCGAATGGTTTGAAATCTCCTGCTGACAATCTTGACACATTTCCTGGTCATTGCTCGACTAACAAGCTTGATGAATCGTAGTTTGTCACTTTCCACGGACAATCGCGACGACCTTCTGACTACTTCTGACGCTGGGCGAAAGAGGCTCAAGCTACCCATGTGCTGATGTTTATACAAAGTCTGACGAAACAAGATGGTGGGCAAGTAAAGTTGCGGGTTAGTTTCGGTTTCGGGTATGTCTTAATTCTATAATTAAAAATTATTTAAAATTTTTGGGGGGAAATTTAGTTCCTGCTTTGGGATCAATCTTCTGTGCTCTTTGAGAAAATATGTTTAGTTGAAAACGTCCAAATTCACACTGGAGCTCCCCTTTAAATGTTAGTTAACATTCTTATCTATTCTTCGAGTGAAACGAATAATTCATCCGGACTGAATGGTTAAAGATAACATTGTTTAATTTACATGTTTTGAACATTTCGTAGCCACGATGGATGGATGGATGTCATGCGTGATATCTCTCTCGATGCGGCTGCCTTGCCGACAGGGATCGGGCTCCCGCGTTAATCTCTAACAGCCGGCTGCTTCTGGCACCCTCCAGAGAGGACTCAGCAAATACACAGGAAGGGGCATTATGAACAACATGTGTACTAACACCTCGAACCCACTTAAAGGGGTCATAAAACGCTTTTCCAACTTTCTCCTGTTTAGCTTTCCTCCTCAACTCATAAATCGCGCATTCCACCAAACAGGTCAAGAAGACGAAAAGAGGGGAGGCCCCTCTTGCTCGGAATCTGGTTTGTGCACCCGGACAGAGCCATTGTCCCCCTAGAAGATTAGCCCGTCGCTCAAAATTCAGACAAAAGTTGCTTTCCCCAACCCGTTCACCCCGAAGCTGACAGTGCTGTGGAAGCTACGTGCTCCTTGGGCCAGCCACACTTGTGTCACGTGATCACGCTCCTTCACGCATACCCACAGGTGATGAAAGGGAGGCGGCTGATTGGTACGGCAAGCGCGTAGCTTCCATCACAATGTCAGCTTAGGGGTGAAGAGAATAAGTGAGGTCCAGTTTCGTGTGACGTGCGTTTGGACCCGACGACGCGCTTTTGGGACCGCGGAGGTATCACAGTGAAAAGGCAGAGAGCTTACGAAGGGGAGGAGGTACGAAATAGTCCGCTGTGTTTTCAAATTTTCGCACTGAAAGTCAGGCTTTTGAATTTCTCCCTTTTTTCTTTTGGCCCACTGAACGATGTGCTAATAGTACAATCCCAATCTAAAATGATTTATCCCAACCCAAAATCCGTTTCATGGGCCCTTTAAGACGATCCGCAAAAAACGGTTCCCACTTTTTGCACCGCAATTTACTGCAGAGGTGCGGCTAGGTGGTGGAACTTGAAGGGAAAATATCAACGTACGAACTTACCTCATTCAAAGAAGAAACATTTTTAAAAATTATGATAAATTGCTTAGCAATTGTGTTGCATACCTTCCAGCACCACCAACGTTTAGCGATACCCTCCAGCGCTCTTCATTAGATAGTTTAACGCGTACCAAGTGTACACTTTAAGGCCCGTTCACACTCTTGCGACCTCTTAAAACTGGGTTCCTTAAAACTTCTTACAATGAGAGGACACACTTGCACCATCTATTGGGTAGCAGTGTAAACTTGGCGGTATGGTATATTTTCTATTTCTCTCGCGCATTATCCTTTCTTTCTCGGCTGAAAAAACTTTTGTCAACGTTATAAATGAGCCTTTCTTATAGGTATTATGCACATTTGACCTCGGAAATACCGCAAAACCTTTGCTCTTGTGAAATGCAGTTCCAGGGTCACCACATAGATGGCGCCAGCGTGCCAGTGTGTTTTCTCGTCCTAAGAACTTTTTAGAGGTTTTAACAAGTCTCGTCTCTTGCTCGTGCTCGGTTGCAAGAGTGTGAATGGGCCTTTATAGTTGTTTCTAGAATCAAGCGATACTATCACTAATTGGGCTCATAAACCTGGCGATCAGCCAGAGCCTTTCATACTCGCGAGCTCCTCTCCCTCAGTGCATACAGTTGGTCGAGTTCCTCCTTGCCTACCTCCCACCTCCTCGCCTACACCTCTGGTCACATGACCTCTCCGTTAATCAGTCAGCATCCAGCACCTCACTCCTCCTCTCCCACTCGTCAACCAAACAGTGATTGGCGGTTGATTTCATGAAACCTTAATAAAAGCGTGTCCATGTGGCCACACTTTAATCCAGGCTCGATGAAATGCCAAACCTCTAGCCAAAGAATGTTTCACATTAACACGTGTGACAGGGTGTCAAGTTGCTATCTACCAAACGCAGAGCAGATGCCCCGCAGGGCCTTCCTGCCAAATAACACCTCAACTCACGGCAATGTGTCGAGACATGCTGAAAAGACACTCGCTTAATAATCTAAATGGTTCGAGTCCTGCCTAGGACAAACGCTTCTGTACTGCGATGGCCTCTTCCCCCCCACCCCCACTCAAAACCGATCAGTGTCGAGCCTCACAGCCACGCTTTTATCTGGGCTTCACGAAATGCCAAACACCTAGCCGAATCTTGAGGTAAAAACATCGCAACTGGACAAGGAAGAACAAGAAGAGTGCCAAGTCCAGTATTTTCTTGTTCTTTGTCCCTGTCCAGTTGCACCATTTTCACCTCAAGATGTCAAATAACCAACTAGCCCAAACAAACCTTTTAGCAAACCTCAAACCCAGCCAAAGAATGTTTCACGTTAAAACATGTTTCAGGCTATCTGCAGAGGCATATACAGAAGACATCACGACAATGTTTGCCTCTCTGTATGTGCTGCCGAAAGATGGCACAACGTGCGACACGAGAGTACAAAGTTTCCAATTGCTCGATGATCGGGGTCACCTTGTTTATGGGCCGCGTTTGCAATAAGAACTGCAAGGAGGTGACGAAAGCATTGATTGTCTGCAAGCATTTTTGAATTTCTGCCTGCTTTCCTTCTCGCCACGCGAAAACACAGCGCATGTGCACTCGCGACCAATCACCGCAGGACGCATCTGCCATTAAATTGTAAACGCTCCCCATGATCTGAGGTAGATCCTCTCTTCAATCTATGCTCTCTACGAAAGCATGCGACGCCTTGACCGATCATTTTCATACCGAAAATGGGAAGGCATAAGGGACTTAAATCTCTATTTTCCTATTCAGCTTTTTTTTATTAATAAATTATTGTACAGTAAACTTTCGTTAATTCAACCTCGACGGGACCTTGAAATTTGGTTGAATTATCCGAATGATTGAATTAAAAAGGACAGAAAAACGGTTAAAATTAAACTTCCTTTTATTGTCCAAAGTACTCACGGATGGCATGCTTTTGGACACGCTCAAAACGCGTGTCCAAAAGCATGCTCCGGAGAGCAGCGTAACTAAACGAGCTGGCTTTGGCGCCGGGCAGCCAGACCGTCGGCGACAGAGAAAAATATCAACAAAAAAAAAAGGAAAAGAGAACCCGCGCTTTCCGACGCGCAAGATGGATTGCACACAATGCTACAGAAAAGCGCTTTGAGAGTGCGCGCTGAGAAAGCTTTACGAGCCGACTTAGGCGCCAAGCGACCAAACCGTCAACGACAAAAAAAAAAAAAAGAGCAAAAGAGAATTTGCGTTGGCGCGCAAGATGGACCGCACACAATGCTACAGAAAAGTGCTTTGAGAGCGCGCGCCGTTTCCGCGCCTGACTACGTGCTATGTTCTCCGCGCTACTCCACACCAGATTGGTTGCGCTGGCTCATGTCATTCGCTACGGTCCATCTCAACAACGTAGAGGGGCAGGCGCACATTTGCACACGTTCGGCTTTGCAGCGAAGGGCCCCTGTTTAGCCGTACATTGGTGGTTTTTCCGCCGTGGTGCCGTGCAACGTGAGCCTGCGCGCATTCGCTTGGGACAAATTATCCGATGCGGAGTCTTCCTGAGTTCGAACTATCAAACTTTTCTTCCCATAAAAATGTATGGGTGCTCGCCGGGACTTTTGAACACGATCGAATTAAACGAAAAGTCGAATTAACCGAGGTCGAATTAACGAAGGTTTACTGTACCTAGAGAATTGTACATTAGAGAGACACACACCAACACAGTGAAAACTTTCGAAAGATTGCCTGCTAACCTCGGCGCCAGCGCGCCCTTAACACTTCTGACACCTGCAGGCGGCACATACAACTGAGGCAAGCACGGTCATGAGACTGCCTGCGAATGCTGCCAAAGAATCTCCTAAACAGGTTCTCCTATTTTTTTTTTTTTCTTTTGAACGATGTAAGTCCATCCGTCCCTATTTTCCCTCCAAACTTCCACCACCTAGCCATGCCTCTGTAGTAAATAGCAGCACGATACGTTGAGCAACCGATTTTTGCGGACTATCTAAAGTGGGTTTGAAGTGCTAAACGCGAGACACATACGCGTCAAAAGTGTCCGATCCGACGTGCAAACTATTGGAACGACGGTCAGAGGCAAGAGTTTTCGTCGCACCAGAGCGTCCAACGAGAACTCTGTCCGGCTCTGACATGCGACCAACTTGCCAGATATTCGCCGCACAGTCGTTCAACTGTAGGAGGGCCGCAGCCAATGGCAGCACGGATGGCGCAAACGTCATGCTGTCACGTGACTTTCGGGCCCATCGTAAGTGTTACGCGGAACAGCCGGATGGTAGCAGTGCATCACGCAAGTCGTCACCGTGAAGGCAACGGACATATAGAGTTTTCCCGCGTGCACAACATGAGCTGCTGATTTCGCGCGTCCATTGCAATTGCGGGCCTTCTGGTACCGGTCGAGACCGTGGAGACCCGAATATACTTCATTACACTTTACGAGGAACAGCAGCAGACGCTATGAGCCATTCCAATGCCATCCTAGTGTTGCATGAATTTCGCGAGAGATGCAGCAATGTGGGGGGGGGGGGGGCATAGTCACATGATTTGTATACGCAGTGCTCGCTTCGCTGAGATGGGTCCTAAAAGGTCCACTGTGGTCGACCGTCATTAAGTGATGTTGAGCAAAAAAAAAAAAGTAACTTTACATAAAATCTTTAGACATATACACAGTAACACTTTAATGAAATATAATAAAAAACATTTTGTTTGTTTTAAAGTTTGAAAAACCACGAAGGACGAGGGGAGGAATAATATTTTTTGCTTCTAGGCTAGGTGGTGCAAGCTACCGCTCATTACAAATACAGCCATTAGCATCAATCAATCCATCCAGTAGAAGGATACCCAGAACTGGGCAGAGCTGAACAGAATGACGCGTCGGAAGCATGGGTCTCGAACTGCAGAGTATGCCAAGTCAAAGCAACCATCCTTCAGACAGTTTGCACGTCGGATCAGACAGTTTTGTCGCGCATGTGTCTCGCGCTTGAGTGTACATGCTGTAGTCCCTCGTGCCAGTGAGGTGCAGTGGCCTCACCTAAAGAGCTTTATCTTACGCCGTGGCCTAAAGGCCCGTTCACACTCTTGCGACCGAGTACGACTAAGAGAGACGAGATCCCTTACAACTTCATAAATGTTTTTAGAATGAGGGAACACACTGACATTGCGGCGCCATCTATGCGGTGACCCTGGAACTGCATTTCACAAGAGCGAAGGTTTTGCGGGATTTTCGAGGTCAAATGTGCGTAATACCCATAGAAAGGCTCGTTTATAACATTGTCAAAAGTTTTTCGAGCCAAGAAAGAAAGGATAATGCTTGAGAAATAAAAAAAAATATGCCGGACCGCCGAGTTTACACTGCTTCCCAATAGATGGCGCCAGTGTGTTTTCTGGTTTAACAAGTTTTAAGGAACCCGGGTTTAAGAGGTCGCAAGCAGTCGCAAGAGTGTGAACGGGCCTTAAAGGTAAAAAAACGCATCTCACCGTCCTTTGATGTCTGGTGCAGGTACAAATATCTGCCGGTCAAAGCGACCGGGCCTCAAGAGAGCCTGGTCGAGAATGTCCACTCTATTGGTTGCAGCCAGCACCACAACGTTTGTGGTAGTGTTGAAACCTGAAAAGACGCAAGAAACATACTCCCACTGAAAACCATTAAAAAATAACACAATTTTTGAGACAGACTAAAATATAATCCAATGGCAAAAAGACTTATTTCTTGAAGAATTCTGGTTCGCTTTAAAGGATAAACAAAAACCACAGAATATGGAAAAATAAATATGCCAGGAAGGACATCCACAAACGGAGAAAGTGGTAGGTTTGACAACACGCGCTGAAGAACAATCAGACAACAGATTTCCTGCAAATCAATTGCGAGTCGTACAACACTGGTGCATGGGTGATCCGGTAGAGGAGCGTGGGCAGACTGGCACTGGGGGCGCATGGGAATACACCAAATGAAGGAGTGCAGGGAGACATGGGCATCTTTCGAGGTTAGAGAGGCGATTAGTATGTTGAATTTCGAACAAAGGCTAGACACAATGGAGCATACACGATGGATAAGAAAGGTGTATAAGCATCTATACATGAAAAGTCTGAACACTAAATGGACAAACCGAACCTGAAAACGGAAATTCAAATACCAACAGTCAAGCGCTAGGGCAGAGCAGACTACCTCTGTGAAAAAAGGAAGTAAAAGAAGCCGAGAGAAAAAAGTGGGAGGAAAGGATGCGGGGAAAATCAGCTTTACCCATGTACAGGGGACGAAAACAGGAAATAAGGAAGGAGCATTGGTACGATAATTCATGGGGGAACTCGTTATTTGAGGCTAGAACAGGAGTATTGAGGACTAGGACATATATGACAAAGTATGAGGAAATGGATATGCGGTATGCCGTATGCCAAGGGAAAGACGAGACAATAGGGCATGTAGTGTTGAGGTGCACAGGGTTAGCTCCCGCCCTCCCGGAGGGGGCAACGGATTTAGCCGGAGCGCTGGGGTTTGCAGACGAGAGTGGAAGAATGGATGATAAGTGCACTGTAATAACAAAGAGGAGATTGGAAGACTGGTAGAAATTATCTAGGGAGAATTGAATGATGTACAACTAACACTGCTGGGGACAAGTGGGACAGAGGAAAATTGGGACTCCCTCCAAGCGTGACTCCAGCCCGAAGTTTCAACCTTGTCTCCCAGTGGGAGACAAGAGTTGGGGCAATGCCGAGTAGATCGGACCAGAGGAAAATTGGCGACTCCCTCGCCGGGGGCAGGAGTGGGGGGTTATGTTTTTAGTATTCTTGATTGATCCCCCAAAGATCATCCTAGTGATATCCCACACCACCAGGTGATAGTTACAAAATTGCAGAGGGGAAGCAAATTGGCTTAGAAGGGAGAGGTCAGGAATCGTGCTTTTGGTTTTTAGTTTCTAGGCTGTGGCGCAAGCTACCACCCGTTATAAAGTGTACAGCCGTTAGCATCCACCCATGACGATAACCAAGCTGTGATAAAATCGGCAGACAGACCACAACGTAACAAGGTGGAATGGAGATCATCAAAGTCATGCGAGAAAATAAAAAGCACTTGCCATCCATTTCGACTAGAAGCTGGTTCAGAGTGTTCTCCTGTTCGCTGTGGCCACCGAAACTGCGGCCACCCCGTTTGCGGCCAACGGCATCGATCTCATCAATAAAAAGAATGCACGGGGCATTTTTGCGGGCCATTGAGAACATATCCCGCACCTGAATAGAAAGAGGGCTTTCAACACCAGGAGCACTCGCCAAACTCAACATTAATGCAGCAATTAGCATACCAACTAAAACATTATTGTGACAAATCAGGCTGTTCACAATAAATGACATCCAAGAACCACAATAGCAAGCCAGCTCAGTATGCTCAGTAGATGACCAAATGGCAGCTCAGCACCTGACAACAACAGCAATGGCATGTGCACAATATATGTCATTAGCTTTGTTTCGCACTTGTTTGATAGGGCAGTATAATAGCTAAATGGTTAATTCAGCTACTTTGGACTTCTGCTGCCGGGATCACAAAGAGTGAAAACGCTTCAGTGTCGGCCACCCACCCGAGAAGGCCCCACACCGACAAACATCTCCAGGAACTCGGAGCCCGAGACAGTGATGAACGGAACGTTCGCCTCCCCTGCAGTGGCCTTGGCAAGCAGAGTCTTGCCTGTGCCTGGAGGTCCAGTCAGTATGGCACCCTGGCACAATCAAAGGAGGGGAGCATGAATGCATACAGTGACCTGGGGTGCCCCACCGAATGCAAAGCATGCACTCAGACAGTACCTTGGGTATCTTGGCACCAAGCTCAGTGTACTGCTGGGGGTTTTTGAGGAAGTTCACAAATTCCATGATCTCCACTTTAGCTTCCTCACAGCCAGCTACATCTCTGGTAACGAAATAAAAACAATGTTGCAATAAGCAACAAGGTGCACAGGCACAATCTTTCAGAATTATGTCAAGCTTGGGTAAGTTGCAACTTACCCACGCTTGACAATTTTGCCATTTCTTTACCAACAAAGCTCGGGCAGTGAGCGGTGCTCCAGCACAAGCTCAGCTTCAATTCGGACCATCAAAAAATTTCACTCATCGGTGATACCAGCAATGCCTACCCCCAACAGCATAGTATTCGCCAAAAAAGTGGGAGGGGCAATGTTTCAGTGTCCAAGCAAAAAAATGTCCCGAAAAAGCTCAAATGTAACCAATTTTCTGCATTATCTAACACGGCTGGCCTTCGCAAAATATTGACTATACAAGAACCAAGGCACGCTTTAAACTGTAGGTTTAAAGAAAATACAGTACGCTACAAAGAGGAAAGCACGTCAGGAAGTCCAGCAACATACTTGAACTTGACCCCAATATCATTGGGGTTGATGAGCTTGGCCGTGGTTTCTCCCATGCCAAAGATGCCGCCACCCCGCCTGGCGCCACCACCCCCCATAAAACCGGCCGACCGACGCATCGTCCAGAACAGGAAGCCGAAGAGAAGCAAGGTGGGCAAGACACCAATGACGCTTGACCTAAGGAAACAAGCAGGCCAGGACACTCAAAATTCTTCTAAATTCAAGCCTACTGCTTCTGAGGGACACTACTTTTCAAACTGGTGGCTATATTATAACTGCCACAGCACATCTTAAGCATTCTAAACAATGACAGCCCTCAGTTGGCAACACCGCAGCATGTTTCATTTATAAATTGATGTGGCACAGCTACAACTCACCAAGATTTCCGATCAATATGATCAGTTATTAACACTCAGCGGCCGTTTTGAAACTTTTTGTCACGAAGGTCGACCCTCCCCGAAGCAAGCCAGTTCAGAAATGCTTAGCAGTGGGAAAAGTGTTTATGTAAACTTTATAGCTAACTATGTTTGCTCGAGTAATAGCTGCACTTCTTATGAACCAGGCCCTTGCATCTACTTTCCTGCAGAACACACATAAAGCGAATTATCGCGCTCTGCATAAAAACTTCAGCGAATAACAGGGTCGAGAACACGGTTCTCTTTAAAAATGCTACCCAAGCAGATAGCATTTTCGCGTGAAGACGTTATCTCTGTCTCGTAAATTGCTGCCATTTTTCTGATGATCGCGGTGATTCGCTGTTCGCATGCTCCGCGGGAAAGCAGACCCACCTCTCAATCGTACAACTGAACGAAATTGTCAAAATTCAGAGGTCTCCCGGATAATACGGGAGACTTGGCAGCTATGTAGCTATGATTACATGTTTTACGCATTTTCTAGCATACACTGAAAATGTGGAACTTAACAGGTTTTCCCCAAATCTATAAGCACCGTAACAATTTTCCTTAAACATAGTCCCTAAAGTTTCACCCAAAGCATTAGAAATAGTTTATTTACGAATGACAAAAATAATCCTTTGCATTTAATCGCATTATAATCTTAGTTTATTTAAATTTTTATTAAAAAAAACTGCTTTCAACTACAATAAATAAGAAATAGCTTTTTTTTCCTTTCCTTTTTTTTTAAGGAGATTGGGAGGTAATAACAAGACTATGTGTGGCTTGAGAAGGGACGGAAAAGCTGAAAGAGGAAGTAAATTCTCACCCATCCATTTCATTCTTGTAGATGACTGGGACAAAGTTGGGAGGTTCAACATTGAACTCTAGCTGGACATTTTCTAGGTTCCTCTCAAAGGTGTCTACACTCCCAATGTTAAACCAGAGCACATTCTGAGTGAGGAAAAAAAAAGAGTGAAAAATCAGTTTCAATCACACTGCAAATACGAGAACTGCAGAAAATTTCATCTCGGCGTGATGCGTAGCATAGACTGGAAGCTATTGAGGTCAGATCATATTTTGACTAACTTAGCTGCATCGTTTTAGTTCTTCAACCAGATTAGTAGTGCCCTGCATATCCGCGGATTACCTGCAGATCATCTGTGGATATCAGCAGTATACTGGCGGATCCGGATAAAAATTTCAGATTTGGCAGACTGTAGATCGAATGCAGATGACAGGGGCTGCGGGTGCGGATCGGATGCGGATATCCGCGGGTCATGCATTTTTGCCGAGGCGGCCCATAAACGTGTGTGACCGCACAGTGTAGAGTAAATATTTGGGTTATACTATGAAGTGCACCATCGAATGTATTGCGGGGGCAAACTACTCTCCAAGATAAAAGGTGCCGATCGGGGAGAAAATAGTTCTTTACATCAAGAAAGATGCGAGTCTCACCAAAGATTGCTTTAGAACGAACTATCTCCCCAAAGACGCTCTCCATAGAAAAAGTAAAGAATGCCGGAGCATCAGTCATCCCAGAAAAGCGTGTTCTTGTTTGGCAGGGAAAGAGCAAGAAAAAGAGTGGAAAATGTTCTTTGGGCAAAGAAAACCCAAAACGTAGAAGCCACAAGAAAGTAGAATAAGCCTGAAGTGGCTTCTTTGCCTACAAGTGGACCGAGGAGACTGAATTCGATCCTCCGGAGTGGTGGAACTTGCACCAGCACAAGTTTCCGCACCTCATTCTTGTAGCGCAGTTCGTGCATGCCATCCCAGCATTAAGTGCATCAACGGAGAGAGACTTCTCATTAGTGGGTATTAATTTAAAAGACGAGAACCAGTCTGAATCCGTTCATGTTGACGATATTCTGTTTCTTCTAACAGTAACTTCCACAAGTGAAACGTTGCGTGTGTGAGAGTTTGCTTTTTCTTGACAGTTGGCACTGAGTTGTTTTTAATTGTATGGTTCCGAGCATGCAGTTGAGGGTTCATGTTCATTACTGAAACTGAAACCTTTCCTCTCACACTTTTTTATTGTATGGCCTACATAAAATGACACAATGTTATTAGTCTGTCATTAAAGTGGGCTTTACAAAGCAAAAAAATAAATAAATATTAAAATTTCCTTCCTTTTGAGTGCATCTTCTGAAAGAGCTTCACAGACTCCCAAGACAATCTCAAAATTGCAAATATTTTTCCAGCGATGCAAAATGTCTCTGGAAGGACGATTGCTTATTTTATAACTATGATAAAACAGAATATGATAAAATTACTTTCACCGTATTCTGAGACGAAGAGTTTCTTGTAGAAAGGGTGAGCAGACGACTTACAGGATACCATCCAGATGCTTTTTTCATTAGTATTTCTTTTTATTCATGCTTGATTTTATAATGTAAAATTAACACATGATTTGAAGGTGGTATGCAGTTCTGAATTTTGTGGGTGCGGTGAGGATGCGGATACAAAGTTTGCGGATGCGGATAAAAATGTTTAAAAACATTGAGCATGCGCTTCGGATGCGGATGATCGAACTGTGATCCGTGCAAGGCTCTACAGACTAGTCATCAGGTGCCCCAAATAGACTGTCACTGCAATCACCAGTCAGCTGAAATTAGCTTTTCGTGTGTGTATGCATATGCATGCCTCTGATTAGGTTTATCTTAAAGTGAAATAATGTAGACCTGAGCTGTAAGCATGAAATGCTTAAAGAGCTGTTAAAGTGAGAGTTGAAATCTTGCTGAACTTGAACATGTCCCAAAGAACTATCCTAATGAAACACAAATAGCATGCATCACAGGACCAACATAAGCAGCTGTGGACAAATCATAGAGCATCTGATGTCAAGAGTTACTTTGGGCAAGGTTTCCAAGATGAAAACTTTGAACTAAAGCCATTATCGCAATGGCATGCAAATCTACCACATGTATGACTTCACAGGGTTTTTAAAAAAATAAGGTGCATAAACCAGCAATTGGTTGCAGATATTTATCAGGTTGCACGTGTCGAGTCTATAGTTTGCTGAAAGTGCCTAGATCAGTGCTTTGTAAGCACAGATGCATCGGGGACTTCTTGGAAACCGGCCGAAGTCATAGGAAGCTCCATGCCAGCAAGGAAAGGGGAAAGAGGGGGGTTTAAAATAAGACAACTATATGCAGTGTGAAAAGGGCATCCTGTTAATTAGGATACTTTACTAACATGCTCGTTATGAATATAAAAGGGCATCCTTTACTATTATAGACAAAAGTGAGAAGCATCAAGTAAATGGGTGAATGGATGGATAGATAGTAACGGCTGAACCCTTTATAACAAGTGGTATCTTGCGCCACCTAGCTAGTACAACAAAAAAACTATCACCCCCCCCCGCCCTCTTTTCGCGAGGCGAAAGCTTCGCGGACCCCAGGGGTCCACAGAACCCCATTTGAGACCCACTGGCCTAGATCATTTACTTGCATTGAATTGCATACAGCCCCGGAGCATATTTAAAGTGCATGTGACAATTTCTAGCAGACACAGTAGGCATCCGCTCTCCCCACCACAGCCATTTCACACTTACATTTCCGTCAATCTGGTTGCCCGGAAGTAGTCGAACGCGAACCCATTTTTTGTTGATCACTTCAAGCTTCTCAACCTAGAAAATATGGAAATGGATGCAACAATTCAGATGACACAACCTTCATTCCAGCCCACTAAAGTCTGCAGCTAAACAGACATCCACAATCGAGTGAAAGGTGAAAATCATAAATTGCAAAAGGACTCAAACGCAAAAAAAAAAATACTTACAATGCCACGAGCCAAGTAGGCATTGACAAACTCCTTCCAAGTGATCTCCTTGTAGCGCATCTCGTTGAATGCAAGGAGCCCCAGGATTCCCAACGTCGTAACCAGGGCGACCGTCATCATTCGGTTTTGGTCGTCTGGATTGAATGGGTTGCGTCCACTCCTGCTACAAAAGGAAAAAGACACCGTCATGACTTTTCACCTGGGCAGAAATAAACTCAGCAGAACTATCAATCGCTTTAATAAAATCAAGTCTCCTTTCCAAGAAACATCTAAGTGACAAAATTACTAAAATGTGCACCCAATGTTAAAGCCTGACGAACAGGAAGGAAAGAAGAAACCACTCCTTGTATCTCTCCTCCATCCCAGAAAGGAGGAGCAGAAAGAGACTACCAGCCCAGCTCCTGTCAAGTGAGGAGGAGAGAAGAGTGCGAAAAGGAATGGAGAAAAGGACATTGGGGAACATTATGTCTGCGTGAAAAGGACATTGGGGACATTATGTCTGCGTGGCAGAAAGCACTGCCTGTGCGTCGGCTTTTAAAGGGGCACTCAAGTGCTTTTTGTAGAAGCTTATTCTTTGATGGCATATTGTTTGTTGGGCTTTAGTCAATAAAAATGACCAGTTCTAGATGGCAAGACGTCATAGTAAACTCACATTAATAGAAATACCCGGGCACTATTTTCTCTTGAAGAGGCTATCCTTCCCACCACCTCCGTAAAATGTGGCCATGAAAATATACTCGTTTTCACCTCAAGAACCGTAGACGTATGTTATCTTATCGAGATGTAGACGTTTCCAACGACAAAATCCATAGCTTCTTCTTCCGACAACCAAATTTTGTAAGAACTACTTAAGTTCGTGCGGCGTATGAACAATGTGCAAAACTTGCTTTTCTCTTGAGGTGAAAACGAGTACAGTTGACTGGGTGGAGATTCCGAACGTTACTATATTGCACTTTTTAGGCATGCTGTGCAATATATTTAGACAAAAACGTCAAATCTTCGGGTGTAGGAGACCTAATACAGCAATTATTATTTGAGAACGCTTATAGTTCCTGTATCGGCTCCCTACGGGAGCCAGAGTTGCGCGTCTGTTTTCCACGTGCTGCCACGCCGCTATTTGCTGAGATCCGATCATGTGAGGAGCCGGATCAAGTGCCGTGCATGAAAGTAGACGTGCTTTGAGCGCGCTGCTTTTGAGCACGCCGCACCGCTATTCGCCAAATACAGTCACGTGACAAGCGGGATCAACATGCCCTGCAGGAAAGACGGCACTACGGAGATGAACGTGCAACTCTGGCTCCCGTAGGGAGTCTATACAGGAACTCTAAGAACGCTCATCCAACGGCGCCCCCTGGTGTCTGCTCCAAAGCGCAGAAAGGGGGGCATGTCGCAATCTTTGATTAATTTTTAATAGGGAAATTGGCCGCCCATGAGTGTAATTTTGTTTTTTTTAAGATGATTAGAGCCCGTAGATTGAGTTATCACCATAAATAGACAATATCAAAATTCATTAGAATGCCCCTTTAAAGGGTAACCCCAGTCAAAAACGAAACCAAAATGAATGACCAGTATCATTTTGGTGGCACGAAATATGACCACAGCCGAGATAATAAGTCAAAGTGAAGCCGCGTACTCCACTCAAACCGATTTTAAAGATGCGACCAGCTGCTCTTTAGCGGGTGGCAAGCGGGTTAACTTTTAGTCGAGCAACACTGGGTGACGCGTATTGAGAAAAGTTGCAGAAATTGATTGGAATCTGCAGTGTGAAGGGGGACACTCTGGGATTTAAATTCAGCGGAACAAAATCTCGAATTATGTTTTTTAAAGATGTCAAAGGAGATTCTTTAAAGATACAGAACATAGAAATAGATATGGTGGACGAGTAGAAATATCTGGAAGTGTGGATCAACGAAGGAAAGAAATACCTCGAGGAATGTGAGACATATAATTGGCAAGGGTAAATGGAATGTGGTCATTATAAAGCACAGGGCATTATGGAACTTTAATACATACGAAGTGGTGTGGGGAGTATGGAAAGGAGCAATGGTACCAGAATTGACCTTTGGTTATGCATTCTTGTGCATGACTTCTGAAGTTCAGGCGAAATCGGAGATAGGACAAAGGAGAATTGGCAGGACAGCTCTAGGGGCACATGGGAACACGCCAAACGAGGGAGTGCAGGATGATATGGGCTGGTCATCATTTGAGAGCAGAGAGGCAGTGAGTAAAATACATTTTGACCAAAGACTAACAGACATGGAGGACAAGCGGTGGGCGCATAAAATCTTTAAATACCTGTATATAAGGAGTTGAACACAAGATGGATGAAACAGATGCGAAAACTTAGGACGAAATTCCTGCAGATGGGTAATGAAATGGAGCAAACACGTTCAGTGGAAAACGCAGTTAAGGAGGCAAAGACGGATGTGGGAGGAGAAAATGCAGGGGAAATCAGCTTTAACAATTTATAGGTCCCAAAAGCAAGAAATAAAGAAAAAAGTTTATTCGATAATTCAAGAGGGAGCACTCTGCTTTTTGAGGCAAGAACAGGAGTCTTAAGAACAAAAACCTATAGGGCCAAATTTGAAGACACAGATACAATGTGCGCAGTATGTGAGGAGGAGACGGAAACAATTGCGTACGTCAATCTAAAATATAAGAAGCTTAGTCCTGCCCTTCCCGAAGGGAGGACAAACGTACCGGTAGCCCTCGGTTTCGCTGGAAACGATTGAAGGATGGATAATAAAAGAGTAGAGGCAACGAAGAGGAGATTGGAGTGCTGGTGAAAATTATCTAGGGAAAATGAACTAAGTACACCTAACTAGCACAGCTGGGGGAGACGCGGGACAGAGGAAAATTGGGTCAGGTGTTAGGCGACGCCGAGAAGGTTAGACCAGAGGAAAATTGGTGTCTCCCTCGCCAGGGGGGTGATTTTTTAGTTTTTTTGCCCGATCCCCCACAGGTCTGCCTGGCGATCATCTTCATGACATGGTGAAAGTCAAAGAAATGGATTGGCTTGAAAGGGGTAAGAGGAAATCAGGTTTTTGTTATTGTTTTTAGGCTAGGAGGCACAAGCTACAGCCCGTTATAAAGGGGACAGCCATTATCATCCATCCATCCACCCCCATGACGTCATGTCGCAGTGGTGCTCTGGTTGATTCCGCACATTGTACCATATACCGCAGCACCTCCAAGACGTCACGGCACAGCCGTACAACTGATAATCAGTGTGGACATCTTTCTCTAGCAGATAGTTTCCGATTTGCCATAGACGCCCGAAACCAAACTTTGAGCTGCGATACTTATAAAACTACACACATTATTGAAAAAGAAATTATACCTTAAATACAGGGACACTGACTGAGCTGAAAACAGTTGTAATCCCAAATTCAAAAATATTGACTGGAGATGCCTTTTAAAGGGACACTGACAGGGTATTTATGCTCGCCAAGATTCTTATTTGTACATAACATATGAGAGCCCAACTACCCAGAACACAATTTGTTACTCAAAATTTTTCTTTCTGTCCGAAAACTGCCAATCGAGAACTAGCTCTTATGAGTCGCACTCACCCCCTTCTCCATGGTCACGTGCCGTTTTCTATGGTTTAGACACAACCACCAAAGATAATCCAAGTCGTGGGTCATCGAAGGCACACACTAAATCAGGGGTGGCCAGGGTGGCCTGGCCTAAGAGCCGCAAACAAAACCACGGAGCTTCTAAGAGCCGCGGGGGGGGGAGCAAACTTAACTTTTGTTCAGAGTCTGACTGGACGGATGGGGGCACAAGGCTGTACAACTGTACATATGGGAGTAGAAAGCTGCCAAACTGCAAGCTGCACTTGCTTTATTCTGAAATCCTTTCTTCTTTTTTTTTTTCCTGGGGAAACGCGGAAAGGGGAGAAGGGGGGGGGGGGGGGGTCCCTTACGAGGGATCCGCAAGCCGCACTTGGACCAGCAAAGAGCCGCAAGCGGCTCGCGAGCCGCAGTTTGGCCACCCCTGCACTAAATGCTAAAAATTGACTGAAATTATGACACCCATTTTTTTGTGGCTTCTAAAAAGTTGCAAATATGTTGATGGAAAAAAAAAAAAGTTGCACAGCCATGTGACTTCCCGGTACCTTCCTCCTCCTCTATATTTCTTCTTCCTCCCCAGTCCAATTTCAGTTTCGGTTTCGAGCAGTTGCATTTTTTTACTTTATTAAAAATATATGTGACGCTGTTGCAAAATATTGATTGGGTAGTCTTCTGACAGCATAATGGATCGCCTGGCAAAAAAATAAAGAAACAATTTTTGGGGGATGTTGTGTCCCTTTAACTCTTCCTTTACCGTAGGGCGTTGTGCCCGAAAGATGGTCACACCAATACATCATCAAGCGCGCGCCTCAGAAATTAAATGAAACACAAAGAAAAGCACAGCAACACAGATGCTTTGTCATGGAAACCGTCGTGAAGCCAGCGGGGTTCGCCACGCCTGCGCAGTGGGGGAGCATGATGTCACTGCCGGAGAACCTTGTGAGAAAGGAAGACGTGGCACGCTGCTTGTAGGAATGTGCTGCATGTAGGATTGCTTTCGCATTCCTTAAAGTAAGCAGTCTCAAGTGTCTCTGCCGAATATTTTTTTGTAACTAATTGAGTTACGGCACATTATATCTGAATGCAGCCAATGAGTTTCCCTTTAAAAGAAAATAAAGTTCCAATTTATACGATAAAAAGGTCTGAAAATTTTAATTCCTGAACTTAAAATTGTGGTTAAAATCATTTAAAAATGTTTACAATGTGTGGCTGCATCGAAGTTTACCTTGACTAAAAGCAATTCAGAGTACACAAAATGCGCCCCATATCCCCAGCCACCAGCTCTGTAAGCTGGATCACTCTAGCTGAAACTTTGTTTTTTTGCTTCGTCAGCAAGTGGCACCTGTGCTATTCCATGAACCAGTTGCGCGCAGTCGTGAAACAGAGGTACACCTCGCATGCACTAAGAGACACGTTCGTTTTGTGTTCGATCTTGGTTTCCTCACAGCATTTCTTGCAGTTTCTTCACTTTTAAATTTTTTTTTTTTTTTTTTCAGGCTTATGGCACAGGCGGTTGGGGGGGGGGGGGGGGGGCGGAGGGGGGGTTGTGGATTTACTCCTCATAATTATGACAAAGAGCTGCTCGATCAGCTCCTCTCTCAAAGCCAGCTGTTCAAACCAAGTACTTTAAGCCAGCTCTGTAATGTCCGGGTGTTCTTTGCGATGCGCTTGGAAAAGAATACAACTGTTTACGTAGGCAATGTCAATGCAGTGGAAAAACAAGGTTTTCCACCATTTCACGCATTTCATTAGGACATTGTGTGACCCAATGAGTTGGTCAGACTTGTCCACACCCAGCATCCCAGCATTGTAGTCACGAATCAGCAGAGGCTTTCTGACATTTCTTCTAGTCCATGTGTCTCCTGTCTTCTCATACCGCAGGGCACGGATGTGCTTGCTGGCTGCGTGAATAGAGCTCATCATGTTCACCACACGCCTGTCATTCCACTCGATGTAGAGAATGTTTTGGTCACGTAGTCAACGAATGTCTCCCCTTTGAACTAGCCTCTCCCACATCGTTTCTTTGAGCTCTTGCTGTCTAGGTTGCTGTCTAGGCGAAAATGTCACTCAATGCTGAGTTGGCAGCAGAACATCATTTCCATGGGTTTTCAAGACCCTAAGGAAACAAAATAAGGCACTGGCAACATATATATACAGTAAAACCTCGTTATAACAAAGTTGAAGGAGTGGTCGTATTTATTTCGTTATAACCATTAGTTTGTTATAGCCAATGTCCATTTCTTCCCACTATTAGCAAGCAAGGGGAATTATGATTGCTTTGTTATATCCATTAGTTTGTTATATCCCATTTTGTTATAACGAGGATTTACTGTAAAGGGTGCACTGGCTCAGGAACGATATGCAAGCTTGAAGGAGGCTCATCTCCAAGCACCTGTTGAAGTGCCAGGTCAATTTGACAGGCTGCTGCAATCAGAGCTAAAATCGGACAATCCGACATCATCCTCCGACTTCTCACTGCTGCTTTCATCCAAAAACTTCTGCAGCCGACGCAGCTGAATCACGCGATTGACAATGTTTTTCCGGAAGCACCCAATGCATGCACGACGCCATTCTTGACAAGTTTGAGTTCCCTTTCGCACCAGTGATTTATTGCTGATAATTCGCTGCCTCACGGAGAAAGAGAAGCTAGATCGAAAACGAAGCAATAGTTCTCTGGCTACCTCCGAGATGGCACATGTTCCAGCGCACTGAACTTGAATTTTGGCAGCATGTGCAATCTATTGATCACGGGTTATTGATGGACTATGGGCGCAGTAAGGGAAGAGTTAAAGTAGGTCTATACCACACATAGTGGCTCTAGCAGCCGGATGCAGCTCCAAGGTTCGTAGGTTCACCAAGGTGAGGCGCCACATGCTACCAATTCTACATCCGTCCATGCATTACCACCTGTACCTAGTTCGGGTTCTCACCGCCACATTCGAACGCGCTACAATAGAAGACGACCTCAATCACCATACGGTAAACATTCTCCGTTATTCTGCGCCAATCAGAAAGCTCTTCTGCCGACAGGATTAAATAATCCGCAGCGTCACCGTTTGAATTTCTACCCGTGGCTTCTGCAACAGTTTTCTCCGCTCCCGTTCTCGTAGCGCGCTGCGCGGATGGCTCGGATGCGCCAACGCGAAGTTGGCGAAATCGAGATATTGGAACTGGAGGATCGTTTTTGCCATCGGTGTTTCCTACAAGGCCATTCGATCGCTAGAGGTATGTGAGATCCAAGCGACGTTTTGGTTTTCGCTTGAAGCACGCACACTCATCTGGACTGCAGTGATCGGAAATATGCGGTAGACTGGTACCCTGGATTTTCGTTTACTGCAGGTGAGTTCTATCTGCATTCTGTAACTGTTACCCGTATGTAAGTATATTCAGTCATAAGACAAAAAAGAAAGGTCAATGAAGTTGTCTGCGAATGTTAAAAAAGTAAGACTGATTTGTCTGTGAATGTTAAATGAGTAAAATTAATAATTTTTTTTTCTTTTTTTTTTTTAAAGACATATATTTGTTGGGTTAAGTTTTAACTTCCCCGAGAATTTGCAAATTAGTCTAGCTAAACGTGAAACAGTCTAAAATGTGCCGAAGCAACTACACATGGATTGAATATAGGCTTTGTTTCTTTTACATATTTGCAGAATGATGCTGTTATCTAGTTCACCCCTCCAAGCGCAGGCTTCATCAAGGTACTCTTTAATAAGCCCGCCATCCAGTCGTGGATGCCTCAAGGGCAAGTGCCAGTGAAACTGTATTGTTCTTTGAAAAATAGAAGTAAAAATATGTCAGATTCCTTTGTTGTTTGATTTAATGCCATGTACCTGTAACTCTGTGGGGTTGTGCATTTTTCGAAGGTAGCTGTTGAGCACAGAAGCTGTTTCAAATAATCCAGGCTCAAAAAAGCTATCTTTGAAAATTGTAATCAAACCAGCAGAGTCAGAGTAATGAACAACATGGAACATAGAATATGCGGAATGGTGGGAGGGAAAAAGGGGGAAGGGCTGCAACAGCCGCAGCCCACGCGCCGAGTGATAGGCGCCTATAGTGCCATCTGTCGGCAGCTTTGTACAGATCTTATTTTCTACCGAGACCTAGTTCCCCATTCTGCCGCAGCGACTCATGTCGCTAGTTTTTTGTTACTGCACGGTGGAGGCTATAGCTGCACCCAGCTGGCATTAGTTTAAAGAAGAACAGACTGCTTTCTACTGGAGGAATGTAGGAGGCACAAGGGGCTACCACTCACTTTCCTTGACCCCCAAAGCTGAAATTCCATTGTGGAGGTTTGGAGCTCGCACCCGGTTTCGGCTGAGACCCACCCTGAGAAGGAGCATCTTTCGGAAGCTCTGCAGACAAATCGGTCAGGAGAAATGCATACAGTTAAAGCCGCTGGGGGTGGGGGGATACTGCAATGTGCAACATGCCTAAAAGGAAGGAAAACACAATTCATTGACGCAATCAAAGGTGCTGTTGCGGTAAAAAGAGGAGTGAAAGCAGTAGCAGTGACTGCACGACACACAAAGAACTGCCCAGATCAGGAGTGGCCAAACTGTGGCTCGCCAACCGTATGCAGCTCTTTGAGCACTGACATGCGACTCAACCAAGTCAGAAAGCAAAAGTCAACGAGGAAAAGATTCAACAATACAAGCACAAAAGTGCTTCATGAGACAGCATGAATGATTTGGAAGAAAAAAAACTTGCAATAAAATTTATTATTATTATTATTATTATTATTATTATTATTATTATTATTATTATTATTATTATTATTATTATTAACCAAAAGGTTGATTTCCCACCCTCCAGTGAAGCACATTGGTCTAATCACAGATAACCTCATTTTAATGCTGGAAATGAAGGGTCGGTGTGTGGCAAGCAAACCCCGAGTTCATAGTGGCAGAACTGTTGAGCTCTGGTACTCTACACTGAGTAAAACAATACAAGGACCTTTCGACGATATGCAAAGCAACATAGAATGGTGCAAGAGCGTGGCTCACTACTTGGATAAACTATAATTCTATAGCAATGTCTCAACGAACTAATGTCAACATTCTTTTTTGTCTCTTGTAATGGGTTCTTAGAGCCCCAATGCCATAGCCAATGCGGAGCACAAGTTTGTCTGCTTCATGCGCAGGAGTTGTGACGATGTCAGAATGCCGAGCTCTTATTGGCCGATCGAAAGAAATAGTGGGTAGCCCTCAAGGCATCTAGCACTGAGGACTACCCGCTATCCTTTCAATCAAAGACAATCGGAGCTCGGCGTCATTCTGACGTCATCGCAACTCCTGAGCAAGAAGCAGACGATTTACTCTCCGCATAGCCTTTCCGCAAGAACACAAGCTTCTAAGCTAAGCAAACAAAGCAGAGTACCGTAAAATACCGGGCAAGCGCACACTCAAAATTCAGAGATAATCGCAAAAAAATGGGGGATGGGCGCTTGTCCGGTCAACAATTTTACATATCAATGTACTGTGTATATTTTCCCAGATATTACAAATTTGGGTATGGGCGCTTAGTGTGGTATGGGCGGATGCTCGGTATTCTACGGTATAACATTACTAACAAAAAAATTGTCCCTTTCCGGCTTTCGACACAATTATGACTTGTTTTTTGACACTTAACCAATGTGGCCACTGACATAACAAGGCGGTAGTGCAGACTGTGGAGTGGGACAAGCCCAGATGTCACAGCGTTGTCTGCATAGTTCCATTACTCAATGGTTCAATAGTCAATAGTTCAGTGTCCATCACTCAACGGCCCAGCCCTATCAAGAGTAATTTCGCTGTTTCGATCACATTTCCTTTGACCCCGACGGTCAACTGAGAACAATGTTCCACAACATACAATGAAAGCTCCTCATGTTATGCAACTGGGCTTGTTAAATAAAGAGACCATGCCTCTCGCTTCATAGCCTTCCTAGAACCTCACAGGGAAGACTACGGACACACCAGAACATATTTGAAATCCCAACTCCAGTTCTTTGTCTTCTCTTCATTGCCACAGGTATGGTTGGTATGCATGCAATGCTCCTTTTCCGAAATTCTTCACAGAGATTGCTGAAGTGGCTTCTAGGTATGTCCTGGATTTGTCAGCAAGGTACAAAAAGATCACCTTTGTTTGTTGCATTCTCTCCCGCCCGTTGTGGTGTTCCTTCGGGAGGGCTTTTTTTGGATCCCGGAAAATATTTCTCGAATCCCTTAGGTGGCTTCTCGCACAACCGCTGCCATTGCTCCAACAAAAAGGGTAGTGGAGGTAAAGCAATTGGCATGCCTTCCAGGGCCAAGAGTTTGCTATGGATCTGAAATAAATTCACCGGTGAGTTTTAATTCCATTTGGCATTCTGCCACAGGAAGGCATATCTATGGGCACAGAACCTACAAAATAGACACTTTCAATCAATCAATCCATTTGGCACGGGATCTGATCTGCAAGTATTCTGTTTTCACATCGGTGAACACCCTCACTACACCATATAAAACTTTTAATCATTTCTATAGCAGCCTCCAGTCCTCCCATGAGAATGTACTATGGCCCGCAATCTGAGCGAAGACAAAAATAAACTGGATCTTGTGTTTGTATATGTCATGGTGTTAACATTTGAGGTGAAAGGAATGTGTTCCAAGAGAACGCAGTACGGAGTAGGCAACAGCCCATTCAGTTCAGCTGCAAGGACACTAAGATGTTGCTAGTACCAAGCCAAAGGCATTGCATTCGTTCCCATTTATGTTGTGGGCTATAGTTAGCTCCCAGGTTAGAAATGGAAATTCGGAATTAAGATTCAGAACAGTGGCACATACATCTATATCTTGAAGTGCAACAGATGGCATCAAAAATGCTTTCCTGTACAATTAACACAATCATTTCAAAGTTCAACACCTTCAAGATACTTGTTAGCTGATTAGCATGCAAGCACATCTCAAATCTTATGCCAATTTTAACGCAGCATTGTGAAAAGTGCAATCAAAAATGTGGTCTATGCGCATTTAAAAAGTAGCATTCTCGACTTAAATGCTATTACTAAAATCCAGTGATTGCTACATGGGTTCGTCCAGGTTGCGCCTAACACAGCACAGCATAGAGAAAACTTTGAATGATATATGTCTTTATAATCTGAAGCTACTGATTTGAAGTGTTCATCGGTGCTAATATTTCGCAATGCAGGCGAGCATATAAATATTTGACGATACAGCCCAAAACACTACACCGGTGAACGCCTATGCCTTCATTAGAAGGCACGCATGCCTTCATTAAAAGGCACGCTTGAGAGCAACGCAGACAATAACGAAAGGGCAAATATTATTGATCACCCACGAACCTCGGATCGAGTAATCCTTGAATGATGCAACGTCCTGAGCAAACTTCTTTCCAGGCGCATGCCCATCTGAAGATACCTGCAAGCCATCGCCGAGACTCGGCTTCACGAGTGTATTTGTGGAAAAGTGTGACAGCTCGCCTAAACTACACGCTTTAAGTTTGTAACCACTGGACAGCGCATAATCGTAACATGCGTTAATAATCTGCACCACAAAGACCCAAATGGCATGAGTAATAACACCGCAGTATTTCCGTAGCCTCCACCAAAACGCACGGCAAAAGCAGAACGCAAGTTTAGGCCGCAAAGGGCAAACGCGCGAAGTGTTGTTAGTCTTGAACACTACACGTGATTCCTGAAGCGCTAGTAGACAGATGATATGTTTTAACGTTTCATTTTTGTCGAATTTACTCTAAATTAATACTTTTTTACTCGTATAAATAATTTATTAAGCATAAATTTTAAATTTTATTTTATTCTCGATAGAGTGTCACATAAAGCACGGAATTCACCCGACCAACTTGGCTGGTACTTGGCGCGTTCTGCACCCGGTGTAGCAAACCACGGCATAACGGGGAGCCAGGGGAGCAGGGGAGCTTCAAACTAGCGTTGCTAGCGTTCGAACGATGTGAAGTGTTCGAAGTCTTCATCAAAGTTTCGTTACCTTGTGTTCTGTGTTCCACTCTCTGATCAGGTGTGTGATGGATAAGGTGTTCTACGAATTTTTTTTGTTCTTTGCAAATGAATTATAAATGTTAACTTATATAACTTGTGAATGTGCTCACAAAATTTGTGCCCGTGCAGACACACGTAACTTCGTGTGACTGTGAAAATCCTAGGAATCGTGAACTGCCCGCGAAGACACGATAGTAAATTATGAATCTAAACAAAATAAGACGGAATTCAATAAGAAGACATTAAACAGGGCAACACATCTTTCACCGTTCAACACACTACAACTTGCTGTGTTAAAATTTTCAAGGTGTTGTCCCGTTTAATGTTCTTTTTTTTTTTTTTAAGTAATTATATAAGTACTATGTGTGTTGAAATCAAACAAAACGAACGTATCGTTTATACCTCTAAGCACAAACTCGAGACCAGGTGGTTTGTTCTGATACCATGAAACTGGTTGGTCTCAGCATTGAGTGATTTTACTCACTAAATCACCATAGCATTTACTTTTTGCGTGATAGACTTTTTCAACAATTATGCCCTCTTATGGTTGATATGAAAATACTGCGCAGTGGCATGCGCAAGAACCAGCAAGGAGGTAATTTATTTTATTTATTTAGTATACATGGCTTGCATTGGCCTCGCATCAACCGCCATTGCTCCTTACCATGATCCTGTGTTCGTACCTTCTGCAGCATAGATTTGACACCATGGAATTTGTTCTTCTCGGCAAAGCTGAGCACAGGTGACAGGAGCATGGTATGGTGCCATGATGTCACATGTAAGGCATGTATTACTGCCAACCTCACAGGGAGATTCTATCAGGTGGGTTTACAACATCAAAAATAGTATCAGTTCACAAAGAATGGTACCAGGCAGAAGAACACTCTTTGCACAAAATCGGGGGAAAATAAATACAGTTAAACAAGACGCACAGTAAACGTGTCTAGAGCCTCCTGTTCAACCATGTCACTAAGAAGCCCATTCCACTCCACCACCATTCGTGGAAAAAGGAAGATTTAAAACAATTGTCGTGATACTTAAATGGTTCAATGGGGAATCTATGCCTTTCTCTCATGGAATAACCTTCAGAGAAAGTGATATAATTATCACGATTAGTTTGATAATGGCAATGAATGATTTGGTGTAGGAATTTTAGTCTGCATATACTTAATTTCTTTCTACCAGTGTTTAGCTGTTTAGACTCAATTTTTACCTGATGTCCTCCCATATATGTTTAAGATGATTCTGGCGGCTTTATTTTGAACCCTGTCTAACTTTGTAGTATTTAATTTTATCAAAGGGTTCCAAATTATGTTTGCAGATATTCGAGCATTGACTGAATAATTGTTTTATAAGCTAGTAATCTGGTGTCTGAAGTAGAATATTTTTTTAAGTTCTTTTGAGATAGAATAATTTGCAAAGAGCATTAGGTGTAGCATAGTCAATATGCTTATTCCAGCTTAGTCAGTTGGCTATCCATAGTCCCAGATATTTGTATTCTGAGACCTCTGATAGGCTCTTGTTTTCGACAGAATACCGAACCTGAAGGGGCTTCCTTTTTTTGAGTTATGGACATAAAAACGTTTTTTTGAATAATACACATCTGCCAAGAGTTACACCACTTCACAATCAGTCCCAGATCTTGATTCAACTGATGTTGGTTGTTACAATCATTCACATCATAACAGAGTGCACAGTCATTAGCATATAACCTCAGTCCTACAGAAATGTCATTTCCATGTCATTAATAATTAAAATAAATAAAAGAGGTCCAAGAACAGATCCTTGGGGAACCCACGGATCAACAAGAAGTTTATCAGAAGTGTTGTTGCTAAAATCTATGTACTGGGGGGCTGTGTTCGACAAATATTTCGTTTCTCCTAAAAAGAAGCAGAAGTGACGCAAGGGGCGATATCGCGTCTGATTGGCTAGAGGCTGAAATGACGGAAGTTCCCTCTTTCCTCATTTGAGCCTCTAGCCAATCAGACGCGATATCGCCCCTTGCGTCACTTTCGTTCCTTTTTAGGAGAAACGAAACATTTGTTGAACATAGCCCCCCTGTTGTCTGTTGGAAAGGTATCCAATTGGTGAGCTGTTAATTTTTCAATATCTTGCGTAATTTAGTTTGTTTTTTATGCGAGACCTTTTGAAAGGCCTTCGCGAAATCTAAGAAAATGATATCAACTTGACTACCTATGTTTATGGGGTATGCAAAATTATGAGTCAATTCCACCAACTGTGTGCTTGTGTACTTAAAGCCGTGTTGTTTATCTGTTAAGACTGCATTTTCATCAAGGAACTCGAAAATATGTTTACTAATGAAATGTTAAAGAAGCTTGCATGACGTACACATAAGCATAATTGGCCTATAGTTGCGAATGAGTTGCATGTTTCCAGACTTATTGTAATGGTCTAATCCTGGCATTTTTCCAGTCTTTAGGACGTGAACTTTCAGATAATGATTTTTTTAAATATAACAAATAAATACTTGGAGACCCACTCAGCATAGCGCCTCAAAAATGCATTGGGCAAACAATCAGGCCCTATAGACTACTTTTCGTTTATCTTAAGCAACAGGTAAAAAATACTACTCTCACTTAGAACTAAGTCTTGAATACTTTGCAGTTCATGTATTTCATAACGGGGCACTCGTCCATCATCACTAGTAAAGAAGAATTTTAAAGTCATCATTAAATGCTTTAGCAATAATTCCACAATCAGTGACGAGGAGGTTTAAGGGATAGGAGATGAAGGTGGCATGTGTTTCCCAAACTTTTCTGGGAAAGATTTTATAAAATTACTCAGAGTAACATTAAAGTAAATGTACTTGTCTGCATACATTTGCTCTTTTAGTTTAGTGACTAACATAATATTTTGCTCCTGATCTGAAGAGAACCAGTCGTTCAAAAAGCCCTCCTCACCCATTTGATTTGACGCCTCAAATGTATTGAATAATGTGATATCCAAGAATTGAGAGGTTAACTTTTTTAGTTTTACTAGGAGCAAAATTTGAGATTCCATGCTGAACAATGTTCTTGAAACGTAACCACAGAGAATTTATATTGCAACAGTTGCGCAAAGCAAATGCATAAAACCTATCAAACTCAAGTTCCAACACGTCAAAAACAGAAGTGTCATCTGCATGTGAAAAATCTAGAATGCTGCATTTCTTTACGTTAGATGGAACACTTATACTAGATAACAAAAGGAGTATGGCCTTGTGGTCGGAGATACCATCACCAACTTTACACTCATAATTATTCCCAACACTGCCACTTAAGAAAACAAGATCCAAACTTGATTCAGATTTCCCTTGTACTCTAGTAAATTCATCTACGATTTGACCTGGGTCAAAAGTAACGGCGATGTCTAAAAGTTCATGATTGTGCGTGCTGTCCACGGCACCAGCTAAAAAGTTGGGCCAGTCAATATTGGGTAAATTAATGTCTCCACACATAATTATTTTCATGTTTGGTTCTAAGTGTTGGGTTAAGTACTCTCCGACATTTTCTAGGGCAGAAAGGTAGTGCTAAAGAGGACGGCAGCATGCAGTCTTTACCACTGCAGTTCTTGCAGGAGCAGCCATGGGGGTGCGGGGAATGGAGTCCTTCCTCGAATCTGTGGTTCCTGGGGGCTGCACACAAGTGAACATTGTGGAGGAGGCTGGCAAGCACCGTGGCAAATGCCCGCCTGGCACCCGGCCTACCATTGTGGTTGACGGTCTGAGCCTGATCAGCTGGATTTACAGCCACACACGCGATCACATTTTTGGTGGGCCATGGAGAGATCTTGTTCAGATTATAATGGTAAGTCATCAGTTTTGAAGCATTCTACAACTTGAGCAACTTTCCATAAAATGCTTTCCATGTGGTTTCAGAGAATTCTTGCAACCCGTTTGAAAAGTGCTGGCATTGTGAGACTTTATAAGCAGGGTGTAAACAACCGGTAAATTTATTTTGTTTTGTTTTTTGTTTTTTAAACTGTTCAGGCTGCAGCAGATGCTAGAAGCCATTCCAATCAGTCCAGCACTGTGAATCTATTACTTGAGTCTTTACCGTGCGCTTTGCTGCACCCATTTCTAAGGTCACGTGACACTCACATGGCATCAGATTGGCTTCACTGGCCTTTAGAGTGAAATGGAGCAAGTGTTCATTCATGAGCAAGCAATTCTGGGGGCTTTACTTAAACTGAGCAATAGCCTGCTGCTCCAATTGTTTTTTGCAAGCGTTTATTTCTGATGTGCTTCATTAATTCTTTTGTCACATCCCCAGGGCAACTTTGTGGGAATGTTTGAAGGCCACAACATCGGCCTGGTATTCTTTTTTGATGGCTGTGTGAGCAGTACCAAAGTTGAAGAGTGGCGAATTCGTCGTCAACAGCGACTTGTGGAAATACAAAAGACATTTGGCCGGCTCTATGCAGGCCAGTGGACAGGCAACATGAGAGATGATTACAGCTGTCCTTCAGGCACGGGCTATACCCTGTGCTTTGCAGTCAAGCACCTCACATCCTGCAAGGTAGGCAGCTTCTAGTGCAGGCGTGGCCAAGCTGCGGCTCTTTGCGTGTTAAAGTGCGACTCGCGGCTCCCTCCCCTACTCCCCCCCCCCCCCCCCCCAACCCCCCACTTTCCCGCCTCCCTCCCATTCACACAAGCACTTCCCCCAAAAAAAGAAATGGAGCGCGTTTTAAATCGAAAGACAGATTGCGGTTTGGTAGTCTTGTGCTATTACTACCTTACATACAGTTGAACTGCTTTTGACTCTGATAAATTGAAAGCAGTTTGAGTTTCGTTTATTGCCCTGGACAAAAGTTTGCCCCCCCCCCCCCCCCCGTGGCTCTTGGTAGTTTCGTGGTTTTGTTTGCGGCTCTTAGGCCGGGTCAGTCTGACCGCCCCTGTTCTAGTGCAAAGCTTCCTTTTTTATTATTATTATTATTATTACAAAGCTTTAAAGGGCAACTCCGCTTCATTTTTGTTTTGTTTTTGACGAAACGATGCAGTCCTCTTCAGTATCACGTAGGAAGACCACACATCAAATATTACGACCTTAAATGGTCCGGCAAACTTTGCAACGCTCCAAGTTGCCGAAATCGGCAGACTCGAGCGGGCGAATTGAGGCGCAGCCAACAGCGCAGTCAAGGCTATGGCATTGGCGTAGCCAACATTGAGCTAAACGTCATCACCATTGCCCTTTTTGTTTGCTTTTACTTCTCCGGGCAAGTGTAACGGGTGACGTCAACAACGTTTCCTCGGCATTCAGCCATATCCACGTGATTGGCGTAACGCGCCTGCGCAGCCCGCTTTTTAGGAGTATCCGTCGGTCCTGCCGTTACCAATGTCTCTCACGTCACAGCCGCCGCCGTCGTCTCACTGTTTGTGATTATTGTCTCTAGGAGTTTCATTCACACTATGTGCGCAGACTTATGCCGCAGTTGTGCAGTCGTCGTTGAACGTCGTAGACACCAAAGTGTGGCGAAGAGTGCGGGGCAGACAGCACTTGTGCCTGGACCACGGCCGCCCCATTGGTGGCCCGCCGGCCCGCCCCAATCCTGCCCGTCGTTGCGTAGAGGATCACGTGACATCTCGTACCACGTGATAGACATGTTTTTGGCGGCTCGAGACCAATGACCCCAGACAAAGCCGAAGTTTTGGTTACGATTTCTGCTCATGTTTAAAGTAAGATTTAACAGTATATCTCCAATTTTTTGCAAAGTAAAATGATGTACCATAATATACCGGGCATGCACCCACTTAAAATTTGGAGATAATCACAAAAAAATGGGGATGGGTGCTTGTCCGGTCATCAATTTTACATATAAATGTACTGTACATATTTTCTCAGATCTTGCAAATTTGGGAATGGGCGCTTAGTGTGGAATGGGCAGATGCGCGGTATTCTACGGTAGTGCTTTTTAATGTGAAATCACTCATTATACCGAAATTTTCGGAATTGAGCAGAGTTGCCCTTTAAGTTTAACAATTAAGGGACTGCGTGAAATAGGGTGCAAGTTCAAATGTGCAGCTCCCATAGTGGGTTTCCATTCTTTCCTCCTGTGCTGGTCAAGAATAATATTTCTATTCAGCTTGACGGGAGTGACTATCTGGAATATTACATCAACAAAAAGAAAGTGGCACAATTACACTCTGCTCCTCTGGAAATAGAAATGCAAGAATACTCCAAAAGCCGGGAGACGTCATAATTAAAATAAGAGCACCGACTTGACACAGCAAAAAATAATATAAGAAATAGAAATATAAGAAATGGTTCAAGTCAACTTGTACCATTATTGCATGTAGCCCCTCAATTGCTTCATGATGTGTTTATGATATGTGCATTGTTTAACTTCAACTCGTCTTTGTAACAGTTTAACTGTGGTGGCTAGAAGGGGAAGTGTGACGGGCGGAAGCGAGGGGGGGCTGCACAGTATTGCAATGAAAATTATAAGTGGCGCGCAGCAGGTGAGTCATCCCCGGCCAGCCGTGTGTAGGAACGGCTAGCGCTGCATGATATTTTCTTTCTTGTTATAAATACAAACGACTAAAACTTTCTTTTTTGGGGGAGGGGGGGGGGGGGGGCTGGCTACGAACAACTGCACATACCTACTGAAGTTCTGTTAGTCAACAGAAAGGGGAAAAATCTGCTTCCCTCTCGCATATCGAAAGTATGCCGTGCCCGCAGAGCATATGTTGAAAAGTCACGTGGCTTTATCTTTTGACTGGGGTTTCCGTAATATTGAAAGTCCACATGCTTGCATTTTTTTTTAATGCCTAAGTGTATGTGACTCTTTTTTGTCAGCTACATGAATTGCATACGTTTCATCTGTTAGATGGGTCGTGCACCTGAATTCCACTGCTTGAGTGGAGACTTCGATTGAGAAAAAATGTGAGCATGGCACGTAACGTAGGGCTCACTTCTATTTACTCGTTCAGAAACAGCATCAAAGATACAAAAAGGAGGAAAGAAGGAAGAAACCAGTAGCTTGCAAGCATTTTTGTCTTCACCACTGCACTCTTTTTGCATGAGAGCATGATGTGCAGCTCTTCACTGCAACTCGAGGAAAGTCATCTGGCGTTTCTCGAGTTGCAAGAGCATTTAGTATTTTAGTTTCAACAAAGCCCTTAGCATCACTGCTGTATATGCCTTTCAAATCAAGCGATAAATGTATAAAAAATTAGCATGAATAACAACCTCAGACCATGTTAGAGCCATTCCCTTCGTGACATCTGCTTTTGCACCAGCTTCCTTGTGTATTTACAATGATTGCACGGACCTGCCTTTTCACATGCAAGTGTGCATCTGACAGAAAAGTGAGATTCGGCCAATGATACATGTCGGCTTGCATTACTAGGGTCAAGTACACGGCCTACATCACAAGTGAAAGTGTAACATCAATCAGTGCTTGCGCTTCGTCTGACGACAGCACGGCACACTCACTGGTCCTGGCTGCATTACTAGCTTGTTTGAATTTGATCAACTTTGGCAGCAACATGTGAGTCACCTCTTCTCCCTTGTGCTTGCGAAGGACGGATCGTGCAGAAAAACGGAACTTGTTTCAGCAGGTGTCTGGTAGGCAGAAATTTTCGCACAGATGGTCCACATTTTGCTTCATCTGGAAGCTCATCTTGTGCAGTTGATTCACCGGCGTCATTGCACAAGTTCATGTCCACCCCTTTGACAGAAGTTTTCTTGGTGAAATACTTTGGCGCATCCGGAAAAACCATAGGGACGGCGTCGCCCTTCAGCTGTGGTCGATTCCATGGTACCTCGACGATTCCACCACCGATGACATGGTGAAATGTCCTATCAATGAATCTTGCCTCGAAGTGGTGATCACAAACCACACAGTTGCTTGTAAGCTCCTTGTCGGCTCTCTTGATATTCCCTGCCCCTTGTGTTCGTAAAAGCGTCTTTCGGCAGTCGAAAAAGCGAAGCATTTCCCGCACACGACTTCTATCCACTTTCGCAGATAAGCACAAAGCATGTTCTTCCTTTCGAAGGCATAGCATATTCCTGAAGATGTGACGCACGAAAAAGTGCACAACACACATGCGGAAAGGCCAGACTTCTTCCCAACAAGCAGCAGCAACCTGAAGCAAGCGTTGGCGTTCATAAAACTCAATGCCTCCTGCCAAGACCGCCGACTCGCCTGCTGGCAGCAGCGCCCCTAGCAGTCCCCAAAATTTTCATCGCACCTCACGCCCCTCTGTATCATTGCGCTCATACGTCGCCTGTCATACTTCTAGCCACAATAGTTCAGCCTACGCTTCATGACAGAAATTAAAACTTTTGTGTACATGTTGCACTGCATCATTCAGCTTCTTTTTTTCTTTTTTGCTTATTTTATAAATGTTTATACTGAATGAGCCTGTGCAGCAACTTTGTCTTTAAACGATGTGCCTGAAAGCACCCTACCTATAGCTTTTTTTTGCTCAATAATAGACTAAGAAAATTCAAAGGTCTACCTACAATCAGATGCAGTGAAGTTGTAAGTGTTCAGAAGTAGGCGTGGGACTTGGCTTGGAACCCTGGGCAGCAAGGGTGCTCCAGCTACTCAAACAAAACAATTTGCAAGTGTCCCATATGCCCCCAGGGGCGGACTTACCAATAGGCAGAGTAGGCAGCTGCCTAGGGCGGCAGAAGTTTGGTGGCGCTCTTTTTTTTTTTAAATCTAGCTCCGAATTTAGCTACTTTGGGAATTCTAGCTCCAAATGTAGCTCCTTTTGAAAATTTTAACCCCAAACTTACCTAGCTACTGTCCTTCCCCCACAACCCCCACTCCCCATGGTCACTTTGAGGGGGAGGGGCCACTGTTAAAAACTGCCTACGGCGCGCCAAAATGCTAAGCCTGTCTCTGTATTCCCCGAAGACTGTTATGTGCGTGCGGCGACAGGAGGGGAGAGAGAAAGTGTGACGCGAGATTGAAATTGGAATGGGAAATTCCAACATGATCTTTAGTTATTCGAGTACGAGAGCGGGCAAGTAAACCTTGCATGCTATCAAAGCTTGTGTGAATTTAGGCCTGGAGGCCCTCGTTTTACATCCGTATATAAAACGTTCTGTAAGCTCGGTGCTGTCATTGGGAGAGGCTGCGCTTTTTCAAAATACAGTAGCTGTGGGTAATTGCTGCCAACTTGTCCAACTCAGATATAACGAGCATATCAATCTTTGTCTTACCATGGAAACTCTTCCCCAAGGTGTTCCGTTCGGTCGAAGAGTGTGATCTGGAAGTGGCAAGGTATGCAGAACAGCATGGCGAGTGCTTTGCCCTGCTCAGCCAAGACACAGACTTTGCAATCTTTAACACTCGGGTACTCTACCTATCAACGAAGCATTTGGATACCAAGACACTGACCACCTGCGCCTACCACGGAGAAACCTTGGCACAGCACTTGGGCCTTGAACGCAAGCTTCTGCCCCTGTTTGCCTGCTTGGCGGGCAATGACATTGTCAGCAGATATGATCACCTGAGACACTTCCATTCATCTCTGGGTAGTAAATTTGAATCATGCTTAATATACTGTGTTGATGACCGATTTTGAATGAGGAGCAAGTTAAAACAGATGGGGATAATCGAAGAAGCTCTTTTTTTTTCATTGGAATGCATCTTTTTCTACCCTTCTCATTGCCACTAACTTGGAGATATTTGTCCAGATGGCTATTTATGTAATTTTATTGAATGCATGCAAGGCTATTTACTATGTGCTATTTCTTTCTAGAGAAAGATTTTGAGGCTCTGGCCTGATCGCACAGTTCATATCACTTGCACAATAAGCCAGACATGCGAATTGACAAAAGGCTGGTTCAAACATTTGTGACCGACTGTGTTGCAACCGCTTACGACTGCTTATGACCAGATGGTGGCTGCAGCAACCAAGGTCTGCACAATGCCTCAGTGGGACGCAAGGAGTCGTAACGCAAATATCTGAACCAGCCTTTGGCTTGGTCATATGACCCCTTATGATCGCCCATTGCAGTCATACAAGATAGGGCTTACCACATTGGGGGCACTGAAGTGGATGTAGCTTCAGTAGAGTAGTTTGGGATAGCAGTTATTCCAGAATGTTTTTTCTTCCAAGGCTGCAAAGGACGTCGAGCTGCTCACAGCTGCTTCCCAGAGGTGGCCAGTGTAATCAGGGAGGAGAGGTGGACAGACCAGCCAGATAACACGGTAGCTGCCAGGACTGGCGTGAGCCTGCGGCTACTGCAGGAGGCAGTTGCAAGCTACAGCCTACGCGTGGGGCCGAGCTACTTAGCTGTGCCACCCGACGTTGACCCGCAAAGCTGGCACCTGGTCGTGGAAAAGTACAGGCAAAGTCTCACCTTTCCTGGGCTCCTGCAGGTCCTCTACACCAGGGAGCTCTTTCTTCGAGAGTGCATGGAAGAAATCCTGTGAGGGCTCTTGTCACACTCTGCTTCTTTGTTGGAATGTTTTAACGAAGGAGCTCATGTCACAGAAAAGCCGGCGTCAGTGGCGTTGTGACGGGGAAATCCTGATTGGTCGATAGGGTCATGACGTCTCAGCCACATGACCTCGCGCGGGAATTTCAAACAATCCACAATGCTCGCATGAAACGTAACGCCACGTGTGGAATGAAAGTGTTTAAAAAACATGACATGTAATGTGAAGTAAAGGTCAGCTCATGTCTCAAATGGTTTCACTTTATAAAGTAATTCATTCCATTAAAACAAAAATTTGAAGAATTTTAGCCAGGATTCGAACCCACGACCTTTCGGTTGCGAGCCAGATACGCTGCTGACTAGGCCACACAAAGCACGCTTGCATTGCATGGGAACGAGCGGGAGTTTATATGTTTAACTATCGAGTTCCACTCTTAGAGGCGAAGTTTAAAGGGATACTGAACCGAAATTTGGATTTCGCGAAATAAGGCCACAGAAACGTTGAACGGGAAGCCTACAAACTCCAAAACATCACTCATACATTCGTATCTCAAACGGATGGCCGTACTTTTGGAAAAGAAGAGCACGATCAAGCGAGCTATGACATCATAATCCTCCTGAAAAATTTAAGAATGAGGAAGCGGCCTCGCTTCTCTCCTCCTCGCTTCGGTTCACCAGCTCGACGAGACTTAGCAAGGAGGAGAGAATGAGAATCGTGACGTGACTTGTCTCGTCGGCCGTGTTCAATCTTGCTCTTTTCCAGAATTTTGGCGAGCCATTAGAGATATTGCTGTATGAGTGATGTTTTTGGTTTTGCAGCGTCCCGCCTATCCGTCCATCCTTGTTTTGCGAGCTTGAAATTTCATTTCAGTATCCCTTTAAGCGTACTCCAAGTTTTCTCTTTTTGCTGCCATGCCAAGAGTGTGTTTTCAGTCAGTGCTTGTCAAAGGAATGTGCCTTTGCAGACTAGCAAGTATGTAGGTTGTTTAGCTTTGACGTGGATTTTTAGCTTCAAAAGATGGGATGCAAAAAAATTAACCATATCAAAAGAGCTGGCCAAAAGAACCACAGTCACTTTCTAGTTAAACATGGATGCTCTCTTTGGCTCAGGTGCACAAGTAACTGTTCTGCTTGCCAATTAATGTATAAAATTGTGTGTAAAATATAATGCTAGTCCTTTGCTTTTGATGCTTCATTAGCCATCATATTATGCCCGTTTGAAGATCCATCATTTTCTATTGATCCTGCATCGGTGCAACTAGCATAAAACTGCCCAGAAAGTGTATCCTATCAATCCTTGCTTGCAAAACTTGATAAGTTTTTTTTTTTTTTTTTTTGGTTTTGTTTTATATTAAGGCTCGTTCACACTCTTGCGACCGAGTAAGACTGAGAGAGACCAGACCGGTTTTCAAGCCTCTTGCGATCTCTTAAGACCACCTCTGCTGCAGTGCATCCGGTCCTAAGAAGTCACAAAAGGCTTAAAAACCGCTCTGGTCTCTCTCGGTCGTACTCGGTCGGAAGAGTGTGAACGGCGCTTTATTATTTACAGAAGCTAGCACATTGAAGTCATGCCTGCAACACCTAGTGAATGTTTAATGTCATTATGGAATTTTCAAGCTGTGATTCTTCTTTGCTTTCTATCTTTTAGGGGCCCCAATGTTCCACCTGGTTACAGCTGCTTTCGTTCAGTTCGACGTAAAGCCTACTGGGTCTTGTTTGGTGGGAAGTCTCATGTGGTTGTTATGGAGCATGTTGCATATCCAGGGAATATTGGAGTCCTCAGTGAGCCAGTGGCCTGTACACCGATTTCATTATCTGGTAATGTCTTGTTATGCCATGGTGTTCATAATTTTTTTTCATTTGATTGAATTCAAGTTAAATTTCAAACTATTTATACTCACCATTTATACTCATTATCACGCCAAGAACTGTAGTAAAAAATGTTTGGCTCCTCTTGGAGTGTTACTAATCTCCCTCTTTATGTGGTCAATTAAGATATGTGCATGTACATTTAAGATAAGTTATTTGTTACTTTATAAACTTTAGTTGTTTTTTTCTGAAAACCATATCTTGTGTAAGATGTATCCCGCACAACATACGAACTGGAACAAAACTTTATTTTTTTTTTCTTGGAGCTTTCCATATGGAGCTAGGTGCAATTCAAAAACAAATGCCAAGCAAGTTTGTTAAAAGTGAGAAAAATTCTGCGCTATGATAGCTTCTGTGTTCATTTGTTTGTGGATACAGAGGGCGAATTATGTTACTAAGTTAGCACAAATTCTTTTTTTTTTTTTCCTTTTTTTATTTGTTAGGCAATGTGCCACCCTTATGGCAGCTGTGGTCAGGGGAACCCTCGCTCCAAGAAGTTCGGTGGCAGCTGTTCTATGGCAGCCTCGGGCTCCATTTCACGTTGGAGGACCTGAGAGCACTGCCCGCCCGCTACATTGTCCTCTGTGCAACCTTGCACCTTATGTTCCTGGCAAATGTGCTCACTAATCAGGAGCTGTCTGCCTTGCTTCTTCAAGCAATCCTGCTGAGTGAGGACAAGTGTGAGCGTCGCTCCTTTCCCATACCAGTAAGCCTCTTTCCTGCTGTACCTGCATGAAAATGCCACAAAGCAGAGATGTGCCATACAGCTGCATTGTCCTGGACAAAGGACCATGCAACCCTTGGACTGCAGTAGTTTGACAAAGCCCACTGCACATCTGTGCTAAACACAACAAATTTGTTTGTAAGAAATTAAAAAAAAAAAAAAAAAAGAATATGAGTCCAGTCTACTCACATCCTGCTTCATTTGTTTAAAATCAATGTCCAGAGATTAATATTCAATACATAGCAAAAGAATAGTTGCAGATATAAGAAAAAAGGCCCCAGAAATAAAAATTATTTGCACAGCGTGCCATCCCCGCCTAGGAAATCAAGACATACTCATTTTGTTTGGCAGTACAGCGAGATCAACCCCCGTTTGGTGAGCCTCTCCTGCTACTTCATGGAGGGAGTGCAGTTTGTGGTGATGTCACTGAGTGCATGTGGGTCACCCTTCCCCCTGGCTGACACCATGCCCTGGCTCTACTTTGATGGCAAGCTGTTTCACTCCATTCATCGCCAACTCTACCCCACCTCCACGGCCTCCAGCATTCTGGAACACAACGTAGGTTCTGTACTGGGAGTTCTCGCTCAATAGGATGAATGGATAGTAATGGCTATACCCTTTGTAACGGGCAACAGCTTGCACCACCTAGCCTAACATTTCATCGTCACTTTTTTTTAAAAATTTGTATAAATTTTGTTCTAACACAATCCTCCCCCCCTTTAATAATAATAATAATAGCTTTATTTACCATGTATAAGCATGGCGGGGGCTGAGGAAAAAAAAAAGTGTTCCCATTGCTTATTTTTATCTGTATTTTCGCCCCTCCCTAGATCTTTTCCACCAATCTTCCAATCTCCTCTTAGTTACTGCAATTCTTTCCCTATCCATTCGTCCATCCATGTCTGCAAATCCCAGTGCCCCCTCCAAATCTGTAGCCATCCCCCCCAAGAGGGTGGGACAAAGCCCCATGCACCTTATAATTACATGTTCTATAGTTTCCCTTTCGCAGTTGCATACGTCGCATAGAGTGTCTATTTCCTGGAATTTAGCCCTATATGTTTTCGCTCTTAGCACCCCCATTCTAGCTTCAAACAGCAATGAGCTCCCCAATGAATTACCATACCAACTGTTCCTTCTTTATTTCTTGTTTTTGTGCCCTGCATATTGTTAAAGCTGATTTCCCCTGCATTCTCTCTTCCCACAATTTCCTCTCAGTTTCCTTTACTTCCTTTTCTACTGATATGCTCTGATCGGCCCCATCTCGTTGAATGTATTTAGATCGTAGCTTGCGAGTTCAGTTTGTCCACTTAGTGTTTAGACTTTTCATATATACTGTAAAATACCGGGCAAGCGCCCACTCAAAATTTTGAGATAATCATGAAAAAATGGGAAATGGGCGCTTGTCCGGTCATCAATTCTACATATCAATGTACTGTGCATATTTTCTCAGATTTTACAAATTTGGGAATGGGCGCTTAATGTGGTATGGGCGGATGCACGGTATTCTACGGTAGATACTTGTACACTTTCCCTGTCCACCGTATATCCTCAATTTCAGCTTGTCTTTGTTCATATTTTACTTCACTGATCGCTTCTCTACTCTCGAAAGATGCCCAACCCATATCCCCCTGTACTCCCTCATTTGGTGTATTACCATGTGCCCCCCAATGCCAACCTACCCACACTTTTTACAGCGGTGCTGTTAAGGGCTAGTTTCCCCAGGATCGTGTCCTCCGCAAAGAAATGTTGACACAAAACTCTGGTTGCCGCCATCGCTCATAGATGGCAGTAGCTGTCCAGAGTGTTGTGTTTGCCGGATGTCCGCTTGCCGCCGCCACTCATAGATCGCAGCAACATTTCTTCGGGGGAAGAAGAGCGGAAACGGAATGAGTGGCGAAGTGCACAGCAGCGCAAATGGTTTCGTAACTGCCGCGAGGCCACTATCGCCTAAAGTTACAAAAGAAGAACAGATCGCTCGCCTGGAAAGTCACCGCCGAGAACAGAAACTACAGCTCCGCTGCTCTTCCTTCTTCACCAAAGTGGAAAGGCTGAAAGTTTTTTTTTTTACTGTATCTCTAAACCTGCCTGGATTTCTGACCTCATACACAATACCGCATTCTCAAATGACAGCCCTGGCAGCATGACTTCCTTCCATACATGCCTAACAACTTCATACCTATTATACAGTATAGAGGTTTTTTGCGCGACACAGGGGACAATTACAAGCGAGTAGACACGGACAAGCACAAACTTTCAACTACTTTATTCGTGCGCAATCGACCACAACTACTTTATTCGTGGTCGATTGCGCACGAATAAAGTAGTTGAAAGTTTGCGCTTGTCCGTGTCTACTCGCTTGTAATTGTCCCCTGTGTCGCGCAAAAAACCTCTATACTGCATCATGAACCAACTAGGCCAAAAACAAGTTTTAATTGAATATCTATTATAGTTCCAGTTCCCTGTGTTTCATAATAGCCGAATCTCGTTTCCCCTTTTTTATTACAATATTTTCATGCTCTTTTAGATAATTTCTTCCCTCATTTAACCATACTCCCAGATATTTGTACTTTTCTATGTGTTCTATCACTGTCCTGTATCTCCAAGGGTTCCCCCTTCTCGTCGTTGAAGACTATTATACCCTACTTCTCGCTACTGAATTTTAGGTGTAAGCTGTCCCCTTCCCTGCTGCAAATCCTAATTAGTTCCTGTATTGTCTCACGCCTTTACGATATGAGTGCAATGTCATCTGCATACATTAACCTTGGCAATACTTGATTTACTTTATGTCCTTCCTCCATGTAAGTCAAGTCAAAACCTAGGTTGCACTGCTCTGGTTTTTTTTTCTATCACACTGAGGTATATCGTAAAGAGCAGGGGAGACAATGGGCAACCCTGTCCAAGTCCTCTTTTTATTGCTGCTGGTCTTGTAGTTTTGGCTTTCCGTGTCATAACCACCCTATTCTCTGTATATACCCGGTCTAGAAACTTAACCATGGTTCCCCCTAGCCCATGTCCCTTCAGTTGGTCCCAGAGTTTTTTCTGATTCACATTGTAATATGGCCCTTTGATGTCTAAAAATGCTACCCATAATGGCCTTTGACTTGTCATGGCTATCTCAATGCACTCAGTGATTACGAATAAGTTATCATCTAGTCGTCTATCCCTGCTGAAACCGTTTTGAAGCTCCCTCAGAATCTGCTTTCTCTCTGCCCATTCTTCCGGCATTTCCTGGCCGTTCAGTTGGCAGTGTTGCCAGGCGTTTCCTTCAAACACCCAAAATTGGTACCACAAATACAGAATACTATTAGTGGGCCAGAGCTCTACAGGCATGCACTGCATTATTTTTCATTCCTTCGAAGTGGGGTTGTACCTATCATTAGTAGTGTATACAATGACATCTTGTATGGTGCTAGGCAGACTGAACCTGACTCTATACTCTTATCAGTGGTGGAATATTATTGTACTTGCAGCGACCACTTGTGGAGCTCTACGAATACCTTTGGAATGTTGTGACCACAAGGAACCGTTGGTAAGGTTGAACCTCGCCATTGCCAAGTAAACTGTCCAGCAGCACCATATTGATCCCAGAAAAAATTATTTCCAGGGGTGTTCACATGTTTGGTGTTTATATTGTATTGTAATAAATTTTTAACCAGCTTATGCCATTTCATCATTATGCAAGTGTCATTAATTTCCCAAAAAATCTGGAAGCTCATAATACTGGAACCTAACTAAACTTTTAACTTCTCTATTGTGCAAAACTTTGTCACAACCAAATAGAACATTTGCATACCACAAGCACTTTACATCCACAATTTAATACTGTCTACCGATATTTCAACATCAAGTATAGTCCACAAATTCAGCCAACAAAGCTCCAGAGCATACTCCTGGTTGAGTTTTGGTGTGGGACACCAACCAGTAGAGGTGAAGTGTGGCATTTCCTTTCTATCGTGTTTGGGCTGTGTCGCCTCACTTGTACACTACTACTGTCTTGCACATAAATTCAAGGTTTCGTAGCCAGACGTTTTATTTGTTGACCGTTAGAGGCCAGAATTAAAGTCAGGAGAAATTCCATTCCATAGAAATCAACGTTTATTCCAAGCACTTGATACAACAAAGTAATGGCTTGGTTTTTCTCTGTCAGCAACACGATTGTACTTGCTTTATCAAAGTACACATATGTAACAAGTGCTGCGAATACAATCGTCGAAAAACTTGGCATTGAGGTATGTGGGTTATATTTACAAAATAACTTATACAAGTCTACTGGAGCACATGCCACGAGTTGCAGAATGGTCAAAAGCATACAAAACATTTGTGCGCCTGGAAAACACAATCGTTGGCTCTTGGCAACGCGAGGGTCTCAAATGTTTCTTTGGAAGCGAACCACTGCCATGTCCAATCCTCGTCCCTATTTTTCTTCCCGAGACTCTGAGCATTTATGTACAATCTAGAAATGCAGCGAGTATTTTTTGTTCAAATATACAAATATATTACAAGCACTCAAACATCAGAAAGGTAAAGACTGCTTTGCACATCAAAAAAAAAAAAAAAAAAAAAAACCTAATGCCTACTGCAGTTCTTCATTCAAAGCATATACTGTGGCAGACCTTGTTGGCTGTAACAGATGAATAGTGGAGCAACCACTGCCTGCCTGCTACATGTTGCAGTCTGTCATAGTGTAAGAAAAGGTCCCTTCTGGTTTCATTACACATAGATATACAAATGGTATAGATTGGGGACCTTGGTCTTGCCTTTAATTAATCCGGTATCCTTCAAAGTATGCAGTACTTCAATTTTCTCAGGTTGCTTGCTCGTTCCTAACCGGTGCTGGTCCCAAAATGTCTCAACCACTAACTGTATGGCAGTAAAAATGTAAAAACATCTTTCAGACGTCTCTCAATGAATCATTACGAAAAGCTAATTGCAAAAGGTGAAGAAAAAAAAAGCACTTGGTCAGGGCTTCACCTTTCCCAATCGGCATGCTGCACAACACCTAGAGTCAAGATGATCATTTTACAATAGAGCAAAATAACCGAGGAAAAAAAAAAAAAACTTAATTTACATGGTCAGCTATCTGCCTTACTGTTTTTAAAACCACATAACTAGTGCACTAGTAATTAAATCATTGTGCACAGTTCATGGCTGGCAATGAAGCAAAAGTGCTTACAAGCATGCACATTATACCACAAGCACTTCCAACAATCTAGCCACTCAAAACACTTCACTTGGTCAATGACAGACATCTTTGACAAGTTCTAGCAACACTCCTACACCCAATGGCACAATTGCTCCTATTAGCTTTGGCACAATTGCAATAAAAGCACCAGATGCAGGAAACTTGCTTTAGGGTGTATCACTCTTATGCACACAGGGCCAAAACATCCATACCTTTGCCGCATGAACATTAAAACAAGCATGCTTTAACAGCTTTGTTTCATAAACTACAAATGTTAGGACACACACAAGTTTTTTTTTATAACCGGGAAATTTAAACATTCACTGAAAGTTATTATGACCACAAGTGTGCAAAAATTCTGTGGTGTGAAAGGACTTTACAGCATAACAAATCTGGAGATCATAATAGAGGATAGGGGAACCAACCTCGAAGTTGATTCCCTACGATTCCCCGCCCTTCGTCGAATCCCAGAACAAAAAACAAGTGCTTGGTACTTTGCAATGAAGCATAGAAACGGCAGCAGTACCTAAAATGTATCTCCAGAAATACATGACAAATAGGCTATGGTTAACCACAACAAACAAGTTTGTTCATAATACTGCATTTTGGTATTGTAACTGATTAAAAACATGTATTAAAGCAAAGAATTGTACTTATGCAAGTTTAAAGGGAACTGAATGGGGCATATTGATATAACAAAAATTGAATTGCACATCACCTAGTAATACCAAATTACACCACAACAAAATTCTGCTACTAAAACTGACAAATGAGTATGGCAGTATCCACTGGAATTTTAGTTGTTAGTTTCCTTCTGGGTCTGTTTTAGTTCTCCAGCGCTGTTCCTCCGAGTCCCCACACTAATGGCATCACAATAAACAACATTTTGTTTGGTAATTTGTTTGCTTAACACTTCCTTTTTGTGACCCTTTTGCGCTGGCCATGTGCACCTCATTAGGCAAGGCTGCAAAATCAATCTTGCCCATTGCCCAGCACCAAGTCTCGAGGAGACACACTTTGGAAGCTCAATTGCACAAATAAAAACGTATTTCGCAAAACAATTTTGCAGGGATATTCAGAATCTCAAATCAAACTCACTCGCACAAAAAACCAAAATTTAAAACATTGAGGGGTTACCCTGTATAAACCACAGCCATTAATGCAAGCGTGATAAATCTAGAAGGTTTCTTTTGCATCTGCTCTCTCCACAATCCCAAACCCTGTTTCCGCGAGGGAGCAAACCAAAACCTGAATGGTATTGGACATCCTCGAGTTTCAGTGAATAAACCCACCACTGCTGCTACTCCATATTTTGGTTAAGCCTCAACAACAAGTAAAACAACCCCTAATAATTATCTGTAAAACGATCTAGATCTTGTTGATGCCAAGTCATGTCCACCAATTTACTACAAACAAAATACCTACATACCGGCTGGCATGCCTACTGTAAAATTTTAAGGAATTGCCACAACCGAGGGTTTGGATAGCAGTAAACATCAATAAAACTATACGATCCATGTCTTCATACATACACTGGAGAAAAAAAATGTGTCTTCAACCCTCTGAGGTACAATGCAAGATGTATCCAGGAACTTATAAAACGCTCATTTAATTCAACGAAGTGCGAGCGAGGGCAACGGCCGTAAATAATTGTCTCGAGCTAAATCGGGTCAAGACAATTGGCCAAAAGAATCATTCATTACCTCGTGTCCACAACACTTCAGAATTGAGAGATCCACATGTGTATGTACCTTAAGCGGGTAAATACTTTCCTCAGCAGCAGCCTTCTGCAATGCAGGCAGTAAGGGAACACTTCAAAGGCTTACAACTATTTAGACACAGACTCCAGTGATGTAACCGTCTGCAGTCGTTCCATTTTTCACCTCCAGAGCCGACCCTGACTGGTGCAAGAGATAAGCGAGCACAAGCTGAAAAGTTGTGGCACTGCATGTGTTCTCATACACTGGGAACACCTCAAAAATACACACACACATCATATGCGCCAGGACCGAATGCTGAAATGTCGGTTTTCTACTTTTTAACATCCACCTGTTGAGCATTGCAAGTTTAATGCCAGGAATAGTGTCATTACTTTAGTTTATTAATCTTGCACGGGACAGGGCTGTAGTACAGCATTAGAAGTCACTAACATTTGTAAATGGCAGAAAATTTGGTTATCTACATCATGACTGAGGCATCCTAAACGTCAATATGATGCAAGTTTAGAATAAAAACACCTATTGCGCTGTACACAAGTAAACAGTTCTTGGAAGGGTACACTAACTTCACATCCTAGCTGTGATACTACTTCATCCATGTATGCACTCGAGCGACAACTTAATTATGAACAACCGCAGCTTTAATAAAGAACACCGTGATTATGCCCCCTTTGCAAAAGCTTTTTCATAGACATGTAGTCCAGTACTTTTGGCTACCAGCATGCCTACTACTCCCAAAGGGCTAAAAGCACCAGTTTCACTAATCTGCGACAGCCTCTTGGGAGCGGTTACTGTTAACTACGGCACAGTCCCTCAAGGAAAGGAACGCATAATTTAAAAATAAAAAGGCTCGGATTCTCGGACTCCACCTTTCGTAACACTGCCCAAAACCGAAAAGATACCGAGCACTACAGTCGACTCTCATTAATTCAAAATCTGTTAATTCAAAATTGCGGATAATTCAAACTAACATACAGGTCCCATCCTATGCGTTTTTATAAGAGGAAACTCCTGATAATTCAAACTTTGCTTTATTCAAACAAATTTTCAGCCCCCCTCGAGTTTGAATTAATGAGAGTCGATTGTACAAACATATGAGTACCTTTTTCAGTTAGAAAGAAACCAGTTGTAAAGCTGCCGGAAACATTGCCAGCCGAACGAACTGTTGACACAAACTGCTCTACACGTCGGCACGATGACAAAATGTAAATTTTTAAAGGAGGAATTTCCATGGCTGGAGAGTTCGTCGCACACAAAGATTCCCAGTGTTCACACAAATCTTGCACCATTTTCACCTCCCAAGATGGGCCCATGACGGGCTTGGCCGTGGCGACGGAACCGCTCTGTTTCAACTCTGCCAAAGTTCTCCCTCGGCCAAAGTTCTGCCTTGGCTCGCGCTTGGCGCAGCCCCCAGGCACCGGAGGAAACACACCGACGCCGCATCCAGGCCGGCTCAGTCTACATAGTGGTGGTAGTGGTGGTGCACGTGCTCATGCAAGTGGTGGTGCTCGTGCCGTTCGGGGCGCGTGCCCCGGCTGCAGTCCATGCTGGCCAGGTGCTCCCTCTGGATCCAGCTGGCCACCTGGCGCATGGCCCGCTGCCGCTCGAGGTCCCGCTCCCGGTGCCGGTAGTGGTGGTGCGTGCCAGAGCAGGGCGCAGCGCCCCCACCTTCCCCGTGGGACTTGGAGCGGCGGTGGGGGCGCCTCTCGCACTGTGGGCTCCACTGGGCACAGTCATGGCCGTGGTCGAGCAGCCGGTACGGACATGGGGCTGGCTCCGGCGTTTTCTCCCAGGGGCATGCCTCGGGACCGACCTCCTTCTGTCTCGGGGGCTGCGACCGTCTGCAGGGGGGCAGCACAACGGACATCAGAACCCATCCATTGTTTCACTCGAGCGCCTTACAAGCAAATGTAAAGGACAGCGCTGTACACTAACAGAGGGCGAAGCAACATATCCAAAATTTCCAATCAGTTTAAAGGAAAAAATTAATGCTTGGAAAGCTTTCGAATGGTGGCACACTTGCTTGCAATGTTGACTCTGCAGTGGAACCACAGCAGAGCCAGCTCTCTTATACGGTGCAGCACAATCGAAACAGACTGGTCTCAAACTAGCCTTAAAAGAAGCTGGCCTCAAACTTCCTGCAACAAAACACCTCTTGGGAAGCTCTCGCCCACCTCTGATCTGCGTATATTTCATGACATCTTATGCACCATGGGCTCGAAATAAGTCTAACAATGTTATCAGCGATCGTTTCTCATAGTGCGTGAATTTGATCTTGTAATTACTGCAGAACCTTGAATCTAGTTCCAGACTGGGAGCACTGAAGTGTTATTTGCACACTGGCACCACCACGATTCGAAACACGTCTTAGTGGAACGCAAAAAGTCGTAATGCAGTCGGTCCTATTCAAATGCAAATGTCATTAACACCTCCCAGAACGCGTCGCATCTACAGTCGACTCTCGGTAATTCAGTCGCTTGATTTGAATTGTAAGCTAGTTTGATGCAGGGGTGCGGTCCCAGCAATTACACATACAGGTCTATGGGAAAACACTCGCAGTAATTTAAAGTTGAACCTCTGGATCTGGTTAATTTAAAGGGCTTTTTGCATGCTTGAGAAGTCCGGCAACTCTGGGAGTATAAAAAAGCCTCGCAATCGCGCTGATCTAAGCCTAAATCGCACCACTGCACACTTTATCGCATCGCAGCACTGCACACTTTATCGCTTATATATACCGCGTGTGTGGTCGGAAGGAACCAGCGTGGCATGCGACTAAGCTGCCAGGTGGCCAAGACAATGAAGCAGCCAAGCCAAGCCAACATGGCTGCGGGCGCGCGCATCATGGTGTCATTCCCACGAATGTTATGGGAGCGACTGCAGCTCTGGCAGTGCGTACGGCCAACAAAGCTTGGTTTGAGGTGTTACCCAGCCCTATGAGATGTCTTGCCCATCGAGCATATTGATGTCAACAAACATGTTGTATAGTTTGTAGTCCACTTTCAGAGAGTGACAGAGTGAAAGTGGTGAGGCCTAGGAAAGATCACGTCACTTTCCGTGCCGAGTGCCACTGAAGCGGAAATTGCTTATGGCATCACAGAGGTCAATTTTGTGTTTTCTTTGGCTAAAACTGCTGAAGACACTTTAAGAATTAAAGGTTTACAATTTGCAGAGCGTATAGTTAATACTAGTGATGGGCCAAACTTTTGCCGAATCTTGGGATTCGGCAAAGCCGAACTTTTCTAAAGATTCGGCAAAAATACATTGTCGCCAGACTTAACGTTGATATTTCGTTTTTTTTCTGGCGGAAAAAGGTTTTGTTTATTTTTTTCTTAACTTAAATGCAACATGTAATGCATACTGACATAGTTATTGCTAAATAAGGTGATATTCTACAAGATAATTGTATCGGTGTCGTTTTTGTGTGTTTACTGGCAATTTTAGTGACTCCTTGCCGAAGTGGCGTGACATAGAAGCGAGCATGGTGCAGACGCTACGAGAGTTTCGGTTTTGAGGCATCATCAGCGCAAGCTTGCATGTGTGTGTAACATATCAACCTCCTTGGTGTACATTGTTAAAATGAAGGCAATAACGCTGTGTTCTTGCTTTCTCTGGGAGTCACCGTTTTGTGCGCGAAAACGAATGCAACGGTTGCTGAGCCTTCACCAGAAGAGGTAATAATAATATTGTAAATATGCATGTTTTTCGATTTGAGTCACTTGACGTCAGCTTTGCACGAAAGTGTGCATCCCATATTCACAACGTCTCGTTTTTAACCTTTAAAATGCCAGTTTCTGGTGTTAGGACACACACAAACGTTTCGGAAGATAGGGAGAGTTAGGAATGGTCGGATGTGCAATGTCGAGCATTATAGTTCTATGTTTAGTTTTATGCAGATGCGTGGAAAATCGCAAAATAACACTAATTGAAAAAGCAATATTATTTTGTTTTGGAACACATTACTCCTGAGCCGAAAACAGAATTGTTATAATTATGATGAGTGCTTTAGAGTAAAGGCCCGTTCACACTCTTGCGACTGCTTGCGACCTCTTAAACCTGGGTTCCTTGAAACTTCTTAAACCAGAGAACACACTGGCGCCATCTATTGGGAAGCAGTGTAAACTCGGCGGTCCGGCATATATTTTTTTTATTTCTCGCGCATTATCCTTTCTTTTTTGGCTCGAAAAACTTTTGTCAATGTTATAAACGAGCCTTTCTATGGTTATTACGCACATTTGACCTCGGAAATCCCGCAAAACCTTCGATCTTGTGAAATGCAGTTCCAGGGTCACCGCATAGATGGCGCCACAATACCAGTGTGTTCCCTCATTCTAAAAACATTTAAGAAGTTGTAAGAGATCCTCGTCTCTCTCAGTCGTACTCGGTCGTACTCGGTCGCAAGAGTGTGAACGGGCCTTAATTGTCGGCCAATGTTTCAGAATGCACCGCATCATTGTCACTTGCGCAGTGGACTGCGTAAATTACTGGTCGATCTTTTATTCTTGAGGCAGAAAATATTGACACGAGAACCACACTCGCTCACAAACGCACAGTTACCGTGTTGTCTAGTCCACACCGCGCCGTAACCGCTGGTTGTACTACACTGCACGACGGTAACCGCACGACTGCACGGCGTCCATTTGCAATCCATGGCTCCATCACATTCTCGCGCGTGCGCAGACATTTGCCGAATTTTTGACGAATCTTTGCCGAACTTTCCTTCAAAAGTTTGGCATCTGTCGAACTTTGCCAAATCTGAAGTTCGGCAGATTTGGTCCATCACTAGTTAATACTGAGTGTCTTCGTTAGCGGAATGCTGGTCATGTCCGTTAGTGGAGGCAAGCAAAAAACTTCTTTCTGCGAGTACTCAATAAAGAACAAACGGTTTGAGTGTATTCTTTAATTCGAAGTATGCCTAATTCCAAGCGTTTCGCTGTCCCAGTGAGCTTTGAATTATCTAGAGTCAATGCACTCTCAAATACACCTCATACAGTTGACTGTATGAGGTGTTTCTCCACAATGTTCTTCCTCAATCTAAGTAACATGCTAGCACGTGACACAGCCCATTTCTCCATACCCCTCGCCTTTGCTCGCTTCTCGAGCCAGGCAAGCTCCAGAGAAAGCAGCCACACACCTGTTGTCTTGCGCAGTAGCAGACTGTTGACAGGCCTTCTCCGTGCTATCCCTGAGCCACTGGAGCAGCTCTTGCCGCTCATGGATCCGTGACTGGAACCGTCGAGACCGACTCCCCAAGGGTGACGAGGGCAGGGCTCCCGAATTGTGCTTGCACTTGCTGCCGGCCACATCGACATTCTCCACCTGAGTTAAGTAAACGTACAGACAATGTTACGGGCTTGTCCGGCATTGGATAAATTGCCGAGTCAGACAAGAAGCAGCCGATTCCAACCCACATCTTTTCAATGGTTTTGCAGAATATTATTATTCGAGCAAAGGTATGGCAGTGCCCCACCACAATACATCTCTGGAAGTACCTGCAAGAGCTATGGAAACACAGCAGCTACAGTGTGTCTTTACTCTTCCATTCACCTAAGGCCCTGCTCCTGCCACTTGCTTGTACACATTTACTAAGCAGTCAAGTTTCTACTCCACAACTTATTTAACACAACACTGCCCAACACTCTATGCAAATAACATGAAGGACTGTCGACACAAAGCATTTTCATTTAAGAGACCAAGTGCCTTCCTCAAACATGCAAGACCGTCACCTGGCTCCGTGAAGGAACACTGCAGGTGCAGAACCCCGTCCTACCTGAGGGGGAAACTTCCGATGGACGGGCACCGAGAGACTCTCTGGCTGCTGGCTTCTCCTTGCAGCCGAGGCGTCATCCGTGAGCAAGGTGCAGGCTGTAGTGGCGCTGCTGTTCCTAGAAGACGGTGGTGGCTTCTCCGGGGCTGGCAGCTTCCCCTCCCCGGACTCCTCGTCTGGTCCAATAGCTAACCGCACTTTGATTGTTCGGCTGCCGGACTTGGGCAAGCTTTTCTTGCCGAGTGCATCATAAATAGATCTCACAAGGCTGGCAATGTCCTGTGACAAGAGGTAAAACATAATTAAACTCTTGGGTGTGCACACAGCAAAGTAACAGGACAACAGCACTAAACACAAAACAAGGTATTCAATGTTTCTATACTCCATTTCACCTTACGTCCGGACGCAGCGGGCGCTACGAGCTATCCCAGCCAATCCCGTTCTGTGGACGTAGCCCTTGATACGCTTTCCGCGCATCGCCGTGCCCTCCCTCCGAGGTCATGTGACATTTGCATGGCCTTGGATTGGCTCCGATGGCTTGTAACATCCGCTGCGCTTGGACGTAAGGTGAAACGGAGTATAGCAACTGGCTACGGATTTTTATTTAAAATACGGTCGACACCGGTTATAATGAAGACGGTTATAGCGAAATAGCGGCTACAGTGCAGCGATCACCATTTCCCATTCCCGTTTGCATTTTTACAATGCATTTGTGTCTGTTTTTAGTGAAAGAAATCGAGCAGCTCTCGCTGATATAGTCAAGAGAAATTTTGTGATAATTTAAAAAAGAATAAAATTCTGAAAGTTTATTAAGTCTCGGACCGCCGCACTTTGCTGCCGCGGCCAAGAAGCCACCCAGAACAGGCTACAGAAGGTGCTGGAAAGGCCGCCGAAATCAGTTTCTGCAACGTCATCTGCTCCCCGCTCCTTATCTAGGAAGCGGCTTTGCCACATCGCAAGCGGAGAAATTCTTGTGGCATGCCGATAGGAGCGTCTGGTGCGCTAACGACAACGTACCGGTGGAGATGACAGAGAGAGCCTAGATTTAAGAGAGGGAGCAGCCAGTACATCTGCATTTGATTGTCGCTTGGCCAGTGTGGCGAGGAAATCGGGCAGAAAGGCAGACACGTTTGCAGAAGGTAAACGCTTTTGAGTTTTGACTCCTTGCATGGTGCAACTTGTTTTGCAAACGTGGCCCACAAACCACATAACCCCGATCGAGCAGTTGCCCCATCTCTTAAGTCTAGGCTCTCTATACCGACGACAGACAAGCTTGAGCGCAAACTCAATGCCGTGCATGCGTCTTTGTCTGCTACGTGACCAGTGTCGGCATCTGGTCGGTGATGTCGCTCTTGCACAAAAGTCTACTTCGCTCAAGCACCGATTCGGCGAATCATCGCCACTCAATTGAAGGAGAGTCCCGGCACCGCCGGAACCTCGATGGGGAAGACGAAGGCAATCTCCTTGAATCAAAAGCGTGCCATCCTCGACGGAGTGTGCATAAACGTAAAGAATGCCGTCCACTGCCAGCGTCCTCCGCGGCGGCTGTCGCAGCTGTCGACACGGTCCGTACGTAGCAGGATCTTTTTTCGATCGGACTTTCTCGTAGTTGACGAGGAGCGGCTCCGATCTAGCAGAGGACGCGTGCAGGGAAGCCTCAACTGCTTTCTGCAGGCTCGATTAACATGAGCTTGTGACAGCCCGTTATCTTTTTTTTTTTTTATGTTATTTGTATGAGTTCAGATATAACGAAGAAGCGGATATAGCAAGGCGATTTCCCATTCCCGTTAACTTCGTTACAACCACTCTCGACAGTATTTGTTTGCACGTGATAATAGTCAGTTTTACAAGACCCTTATTGTTGCTTGGACCATGGTGTCAGATTGTGTTCTGTTATTGAGCAACATGTACCAAACAATATGAAATCTATCAATTTGTAATGAAGGTTAGATGGTTAGATGCACCAACTATTACTTACATCTTTGGTTACTTTGCCATGACCGTTGAAGTCGTAAAGGGTGAAGGAGAACTCCTGTTTTTCTTCTCCTTGGAGAGACATATTGCAGGACACCTCCTAGAATTAAGAAATTAGCAGTCAAACACAAATGCAGGCAAAGAAAATTAAGATTGTTTCAAATGTTCCAATGGTTCCCAAACTTCGACGGGCGAAGTTAACCTCTCGAGCCCCCATATCTCCGGTCATATGTTTGACAGGCCAGCAGAAAGGAAAAAATATGAAGTGTTGGTTTAGCACAAATCCTCCAATGTTCAAAACAAATGCCAGATACTATAAATAGAGCCCCGCACCAATGGTGACTAACTTTGTAATCTGCATCTGATCCACAACCGAAGACATTGTATCTCGACCTGAACCGCATCCACAAGCTGTATCTGCTGCACCCAATGTAGTCCACATTTTTTTTTTTTGCGTGTGCGTGCATGTGCAAACGAGTCCTCCCCAAGGTCACACTTTTCATCCCTTTAACCTTTACCCTTGATGGCTGCCTAGTTGAGTGTAGGCCAAACTGACACCTCAATGAAAACCTCGGTTTTCCCAGAATGTTGCATGTGCGTTGCACGGGCCCAACTCACAGGTGCAAGTCCTTCCCCCTTCTCCTCCTTTTCACTTCTCTCCTCCTCCGCTTTCTCCGGCCGCTCCTCGTCTTCGGTCACCGAAGGAGTGGTTCCTTTCTCCGTGCTGCCCACGCTGCCCTCCTCTTCTGCTGGGAGAAGAGATAATGGCCAGTTGTTAGCCATATCCACACTCAAATACTTCCTCAGCAAAAAAACCTTCACAGCAAAAGACAGGATTTTTGGACAGGTACTAGATTCCCAAAAGCCCTCATAACCCATTAAAGAGCTAGCACAAACCAATTGCACGCTTCAGACTTTAGAACAGATACAATACACCTTCATGTTGAACTAAAATATTTTTTTAGACCTGGGTTAAAATAATTCCTCCCAAATTAAAGCTGCCCTAACGATTAAAATTTAATTTCTAGGAAATTTTGTATCGGATTAAACTGACCTCCTACACCAAGTCTCCAGAAAGTCCACTCAATCTGCACATTTTTGGTACAAAGTGTCATAATGTGGATGCTTTTCGAAGTCTGAGGTTGCTTGAGATCTCCCTAAAGTTCTCCCTAAGGTTGTCCTCACCTGCATTAAAAACTTTCGATTTTCTGCGACTTCATATTCTCTGCAGTATTTCCAAGGCCACCAATGAGCAAATGTATAGGTGTGCAGATTGGTTCTAGTAGGAACTATAATGCACTTTGGTGCATATAAGGTTCTATCCCCAAAGTTGGCTCACCTCAATCATAAGTCTGCCACTTTTCCCGGCTTGCAACCTCTCTTGAGTGTTGCTAAGAGCATAACTGAGCAAGTGCTAAGCTGTGCACGTTGGTGCTACTAGGTGCTACAGTTCACATTGAACCTCGCTTCTAATTTGTAGCAGGGTATGCATATCATATTTTCCGGTGTATAAGTCACGGTTTTTTTTTTCAAACATTTTTCCTCTAATATTCACGGTGCGACGTCATTTTTTTAAGTGCTGCATGCCATCGTTTGTAAAGCACCGTAACTATGTAGCCATAGGTGGTGTTGCCCCTTCCAGAAGGCACTGCTGTCACTGCATTTTTTACGCTTTTCATAACCGACTCGGAAAGCGAGAAATTTTACCGTCTTCCCAAAGAGGCTCAATTTGGATAGGCAAGACAGTGAGAATAAAGCTTTCTCAGCATGTGATCAGCGTTGCCTAATTCAACAATGGTTCAATATTCTTTTGCTTCAGTCCAGTAACACTGAAAGGTAAGTGGGCTGGTATACACGCATTGCATAAAATTTTCTCGTGTCTTCCTTAGTTTCTGTCTGATGAGCAGTTTTTATCTCATGCTCCAGCCGTGTTGCTATATGTGAAAGGAAGGATTGCAGCTAGCTCATCTTTTAACGGCACCAAAAGAACTGTGTCAAGATTCATTTATCTGCCTGCACGTTGATGCTCGTGTCGTGTCCGCGACTTGGCCTAGGCTAGGGCTAGTGGGCCAAAGCTTGGTTCACGAGCGTCTGGCACTTTCGTTTACTTAGCATGTGTACACTTAAATAAAGCCAACTACCTTCTCATTTTGAACATTTTATGTCCTTTTTCTCCAAAACACTCGATTGCCCCCACCAGACAGTGGAGTGACATGCTTTGGGCATTTCTCGCAAGTCGAAATGTCGAAGTTGTTGTGCGCCAAATGGTATGTGTAAATGTGTGAACTAGCTACTGATTGTGCGAAACTTTTGACTTTGCGATACCGATGCGCATAAAACGAAAAAATTAATCGCGCGAGCCATGCAAAGAGGTGCGACTTATACACCAACTTTTCCGCGAAAACGGCTCAATATACGGAAGTGTGACTTGTAGTCCGGAAAATATGGCATGTATTGTAAAACAAAAATCTCAAAAACAACTCTCAAAACCTTTATATAAAAAATAAAAAAAAAATTCAGCAGTGCAGCGGTTGATGTGTAGTATATGCTCGGGTAGCAAGCTTTTATCCATCAAATATTGTGGTTTGTCACGGAACTCAGTAAATTGTAATTGTTTATATTTTTCCTAATAGTCAAACAGGCGTTAGTTTCTCGCTCCTGAGGCGAGATAATTGTCAAACCACTTTGAAACTTTTGATTCTTTCGGTGACCTCCACAGTATCGGATGCGTTTTGGTTCTTGGGGGTTTCTGTTGTGCTGGCTGATTCACACGGCGTCACCAGAGCTTTTCGTGTGGTTGGGTTTTTCAGGCTAGTTCTTGTAGATGGGTTGATCTGTACGGGGGTCGATCAATCACTTCTTTTGAGGATTTGTGTAATCTTTCAATCCTGGCCGTTGTTGTAGCATTTGCTTGTTCACTGGTGGTTCAAGTGACCCACACAATATTTTTATTTTGTTCGAGGAAGGCGGTGGCTCTTTCAAGATCTTCAGCCTTGTGGGCCTGCAATGTTTGTATATAAGCACTAGGTTTTGGTGGGACGTCACAGTGGCACTGGCCGGCACACCGCTCGGCTGCTCGCTGGTCCCGTCGTGAGTTTTGATTCCTTTTCGTTGCAAGCGTTTTAAGGGCCGAAGCCCTAGTTCTTGCCATCTAGGCATGTTGCCTTCAGTGGCATAGTTGCCCTAGGGCGTGCTTTGCCTTCGGGCGTGCTTTTGCCTTCAGGCTTGTTTCTAACTTCGGACGTGTGCTTTCCCACTTAGGGAGCATGTGTGAGTGCTGTGTTAGCCCGCCTCGGTTTTTTATACTCTGCTCGCCTTGCTTGTCCTTCATTTGTATAACAAGTTGTTGTTTCATGAATGCCTCTTGCTACCCCTCCAGCCTTCCCCATTGCATTCTCAACGACTGGTTCATGCAATGGGTGCATGACCGTTCTAATGCATTTCGAGTAAGGAACTTGGCCACTCCTGCTTTTACAATCTTTGAGTGACAGCTGTGTGTTGAGAGTACTGGTTGCCATTTGCTTCCCATACTCCCAACACAACCCGTTCCCTACATTAATGCGGAGGTCTAAAAACTGCATGGCATTCTCCTCTGGTTTCTCTACAGTGAACCGTAGCTCCGTGGCAGCTGGTCTTATTACATTTTGTATAGAGTCCGACAAGCCGTCCTGGAATGTGCACACGATGATGTCGTCCACATACCTTCTAACAAAGCCTACATCACGTGACAACCGCATTCATCTTATCAAACACGACTCTATCCAAGTTGTTGAGGTACATTTCGGCCAAAAGTGGTGCAACCAAAGAGCCAATGCATAATCCTTGCTTCTGGACATTCTTTCATTCATTATATTCAAGAACCGTTGATTGGAGCTAGTGATCCAAAATGGCAAGAAAACCTGACACAGACACCCCCGTCTCCGACTGAAACTTGACTAGCTTTAACCCCAACACCTCTTTGACAGCACTCTGCTTTCAACCATCATGTTTAAGATCAGTTATTTTACCATAATGCCCATGTTTCAAAGAAAAAAAGCATGTTTGTTTTCCTTTTACAATCAAATTCCATATGAACTCTTCACGCAATGCAAAAATATGCCCAAAGCTTTTTTTTCTTTTCTTTAAAATACAATCAGGAGCTTTCTTTTCTTTTTTTTCCCTCTTTAAAATGGACAGCAGTGGACGCTACAAGTCATGGCGGAGCCAATCCAACGCTGAGGGTGTGTCACGTGACATTGCACACTGTGCACCTTTGTGCTAGCCAGAAGCTCACATGGCGCACTCTCAGCCCTGGATCAGACGGCCTTCTAGGCACAGCATCAAAAATAGAGCCCACTGCCCTCAATCGTCTCTGATCCAGCCAGCAGTGTGCAGCCTTCAGCAGCAGCGGGTATGTGTCACAGGAGCAAATGCACAACAAGCTCAAGAAAGAATACTGAAAATGCCAAGAAAGAGAGGCAAGAATGAAGGACAAACATTGCACTGCTTGTCTTCTTTTTAGAGCTCGTTCCCTGGCGCTTTGTATTCTTGTGACGTACCAACTAGCCCATCTTTCCATCTTACTGAAGCTCAAACTTACCGTGAAGAGGGCATTTCTCCTCTTCGAAGCTTTCACTTGGTTTGCAGCTCTCGTCATCGCACAGCGACAGGGACAGCTCCTGCAAGATAAACACCTGTTCTTACTACTCTTGCAGAGCTCGCAAAACTCACAGATATTAAAATGTCAACAAAAACGGGCACTGACTGGCAACAGAAAGAATAAAACCAACTCGGAACGAGGGGTGACGATCATCTGTAAGATTAGTTAACAGTTAATAATAACGGGCACTTAAGCGGGTTTCACCCACAATTTATTTGCAGCCTTTCCTCATAACTGGTGTTGATTTTTTCCGGAACTAGCAAGCTACTCCCAGCTGTGCATGCAGCTCCAGCGCTCAGGATTGGCTCAGGCCACAGGCTGTTCACTCCGATTTAGGCGAGCAAGCTTTTGTTTGAATTTAAAACAAAGGCGAGCTGGATATCCCTCTGTCTATCCTGCACGTTACAAATGTAAGTGCGCAGACTACGTAACACTGAGAAATTTGGCACACTTTTTGTGCCTCCATATCGTGCGAGTGCGTCTTCGTATGGCTGCAGTCTCGCTTTGCATCTCGCTCCCGCCTTTTTTTATCCAAGTTTTATGAGTTCGTTGTTTACCTTAGATTTTCTCTTTGGTTTTTGTATAACGAGCCGGTTAACTGAGTTAACTACGGAACAATCAGGATGTTTAAATAAAAGGTTGTGAATGCAAGCATTGCCTCCTTGATGTTTCTAGACCGTAAAGGTTCTGGCTCAATTGTATGAGTTACACGCATTTTCCAATCAACTGCAACTTTTATGACATAGCATACAGCTCCTTTGTCTATATAAAACACGTGAAATAAGTCATGAAAAGCAGCGGTGTCGCATTCTGTAATGCTGGGCATAACCAAGCAAATGTTATGTGTGGCCTGATAGTTGATGTACTTTTATAGGTTTTTTGTTGTTGTTTTTTTGTGTGCATTCTATATCATTAAAAAGGTCATAAAAGAACAGCAGCCGAGTGCATGACATTTGTTATCGGAAAATATGTGTGCAACAACAACGCTGCCTGCAAGCAAGTTTTTTTTTGTTTTTTTTTTTTTTTAATGCTTCTTAGTTTGGACTAGGAAGCTCAAAAGTTCTGAGACGTGAGAATAACGAGAAAAGTTTTTTTGACAGGGTACGTCAAAATGTTTTTGAAAATATTTTCACGTCTTCAGGAAGTGGCGTCACGGACGTCAAAATAATATGCAAAATTATTTTGAAAGGGGACGTCGAAATAGTCACTACCAAACTGCAACAACGAATGCTCTGGCTTGGGGCATTTGGTGCTGGTGTCGCCATCTCGTTGAACCTATTGAAAATAAATTAGCGAAAACTGCCCTGTCAAATTTATTTACACAAATATGTAAATACCACGACATTTAGTTTACCCGTCAGGGTCTTAAAATTAAGATAGGAGACGTCTCTAGTACGTACTACCATTCATTTTGTCGCATTTATCTTCTAAGCAATTTCAATTTCAAAATTGCCTCAAAATGCGCTATAAACAGTCAAAATGGTCATATTTCTGGATTTTATTAAACGTCTCAAGCACCCTCAAAGGAAAATCCAAGGGACGGACGACATTCATTACACCTTCATAATGAATCTAAAAAAGAACCAATACTCTGGTGCATTCCTGAAACTCAGGTTTGTGTAGCGAAAAAGCGGAAAAAAGCGTGGGAAGAAGCGGTGAGCTACAGCCTATTCAACTATGCAGCGAAAACTGGCACGGCCTCGCAGCCGAAATGTGAAACAGAGGAAAGGAAAATTAATGCATAATGTCCAACTTGCAAAGAGCATGGAGCAACCCTCAGCATGCTACCGGAAATTACTCTCCCAACCACGTACATTCCAGGTCAAGAGGTATTGGTTGATTACATACCAAGTATAATCGAACGTAGTCACTCTGAACAAGTGAAGAAATTTTCCAGGTAGAGTTTGCTGATCAATAATAAACTGAAGAATGCATTTTTTGCAGCGAACAGCGGCCTTGATCACAGTATTTGCTATCTGCAAACATATTTTTACAAGATGAAGACCATGAAAATCAAACGTGGGTCGGGCGAGTTGGTTGATCATCTTCAAAAGTGGGAACAGCGCAAAAAAGTTAACAAATAAACGCTCATTCGGCAATGTCCACAGTCGTGCACAGCGATCTTTCCGAGTGGCCCGGCGGCGGCTCAAAAGCGGAAGTGCAGTGCGCCACCAAACGGCACGTGTTACACGTAGCGGTCCCGCTCACCCGCGGCCCGGTGGCACACAGGAAGCCTCTTACGGCCCCTTTGTGACCGCAACACCTACAGGCCGCAGCCGAGGGCAAGCCAGCTGAGGAAATAGCCCACCCATTGGCGGCAGCCGACTTGGCCAGACTACACGGACCCCCTGCGAACGGGGAGGGCCATTTTTCAAGAGGGAAAGCAAGGAGCCGCCGCGGCCAGGGAAGAAAAGCCGGCTGCGAAGTGCCCCAATCAATGCATCATGCGCGCTCCAGGAACGCGCCTGTCAGGACACCATCTTAGCACCGTCGGCGCCGCTGCACCGCGCACAGCAGCAGCGGTCGCCAAGTCACAGCCCCGAAGTGATGGCCCCTCAAAGAAACACGAAGGCCCGCAATGAAGTTGTGAGCACGCATAAAAACAAAAGAAAACCGCCGCAGCCTTTCGAATCAAACGTTCCTATGCAGCCGGTACAGCCCGCTGTTCCACCTGTAAAGTTGTGGGGTGAAGTTTTGTCCCACCTGCCCTAAACTGAGCTCAACGAGCCCTGCGTGAATAACAGTTTGATCATTCGATCCGCATATTTTATATTCGCACCCGAACAACATCTGTCATGTTTTAAATTATTGTATCCGCATCCGGATACTTTCTATCCGCATCCGATCCGTATCCGCACCGCTAAATTCGGAAGAGCATCCGACCCGCAATCCTCACATTTATTTTACACCATAAATCAAGCGTGAAAGAAAAAGAAAATATATATGGATGGATGGTGGTACCTTATTTGCGGCGAGAAGTTTGGGTATCGCCGCCTGGTGGAATTTTCTCGCAATCCAGAGTGAGGATACAACTTCCTCCGCTGGTGCAAGCGGGTCCATATCACAAGAGCGAATGACATTTTAGCGAACGGCGACATTTGAGCGAATGGTCGTTTTAGCGAATAACGGGGGCGCGCGTTAACCCATCCGTCGAGCTGCGCTTTACGCCGCTTCGCGGCGACAGTCTGCGGCAACTCATTACAAAAATATGAACTCACTTGGCCCACCCGAAAACGCCGCTTCGCGGCGTCCGACTATTCGCTAAAGTGTCATTCGATGAAACGTGGGCGTTCGCTAAAACGTCATTCGATCAAGTGAGTGCCTCCCACCTGACACTATAAGCAGGCAACGAGAATTAGTGATAGGATTGATTTAAATGTGGTTCTTGCCTGCACTAAAAGCATGAACTGCTGTATTTGTAGCACTACAAATACAGCAGTTTGGGCTTTTAGTGCAAGCAAGAACCAGATGTAAATGAATCCTGTCGCTAATTCTTGTTACATGCTACAGGATATCCCAAGGATGTCTTGGTAAACGAGCCAAAAGGGGCACATCTTTGTAACTTTTCCGCAAGAGAGGCGACCGCAAAGCGTGAGTCGGGTCTCCGGTCGACCAAGGCTGACGCACGGCACGCGGTCTTCTCCGGAGAGCTGCCACCAGTCGTCTGCGGTGCGTCCCGCCATCGGGCCGTCGTCGAGAGTCGTCGTGAGCGGCCTCGTGAAGAACGGGGCAGTCGCCGCGGCCGTCGTGCCCGGCCCGCGGCCCAAATTACAGAGCGTCCACCAAATTAAGCTCTTCCCCGTGTATTACAGCGAGGACAACAAAGGCGCAAGTTGAAAGCGGCCCCGGAGATGCTCTTGAAATGCGGCTCCTCCTCTCTTGCCCCGCAGGGGAGGGACGGGCGAGCGGAGGGCGCCCGTCAGCAACAACGGGCCCTTTCATCGTGCTCGACGCCTCGGCGCAGGTTCCTCCTAGTTGTGTCTCCCCCGGGCCCGAAAGGCTCCCGTCTCGCGCCCGGCGCCATGTTGGCCCGGCTCGATCGCGCCAAACGCCCCCCCCAGGGACGTTCGGCAAAGCAGCGTAGGCCCGCCGGAGACGCTTTGACCCGAACTTCAACGGCTGGAACGACATCGCGAGAGGCCAACACCAATCCACGCGTTGCCTCGATACCAGCCAAGCGGCGTCTATGTAGCAGCAGGTTGCCCAATCTCTCTGGGAGGACCCGGAGAGATTGGGATGGAAGCGATGGAGGCACCACGTTGAAGGCGCTGAACACCTCATTTTTCTTTTTGACATTTCTGGACACAAAGTACCTCGCATCACCCGAAATCCCGAAGCTACCACGCCACGCCACGCCACGCCCCCCCCCCCCCCCCCCCCCTCTCCCCATAGACCCGACTTGCATGCACATCCCGCGTCAACAGAAATCCGACGGAGTGAAACGACCCAAAAATTGAACAAAAAAAAATGTTTTGTCCACTTTTATATCACGTTTATTGCTACACGAAGCGAGGCGAATAAAGTTGCTAATGACGCTACACGATGCGCGCCACTTCCAAAGCCACCCCGGTCGTCGCTGCAAGCCAGCTGGGAAGCCCAAAGCAGAAAGAGCGGCGAAGAAGCGCGCCAAAGGGGGGCCCTGCGCGGCCCCTCGTGCCGGCACGCCCGCGGGGCAGCATCTCGCCGGCGCAAGGCTCCGACGCGCGCGAGGCCAGAGGCGAGCTTCAAAGGCGGGCCGCCACGCATTTCACGGAAGCCCTCGAAGGGCTTTCGAAGCGGCCGCTCAAGGCCTCCTCTTGCGCCGCCGAAATGCCGCCGGCTCACGCTCGCTGCCTTTGGAGCTCCGACGCCGCACGGGCTGGAAGGGCGAGCGACCCGCGCTTAGCTGCCACGTTGCCGAGTCACGCGAGGAGGCCCACATCTTCGGATTCATCGTCGCGTCCCATTAGGGCCCAGGACGGCGCCGTCGCCCCCGGAGGGGACGTCACGACGACTCGTCGGGTTCCGATGCCCGCGGGA